GTCTACTTGACAGCATTTAGACAGCTGTCAGTCTTTAATACCTAGCTGTCAGAGTGTCTGTACTCAATGACAGTTACAATTTAAATTCCACACTATATTACGCGAACAGTTGCGTACCGCCGAGGGTTTATGACGCCCCAAATATTGCGTAATTAAATACCTCTGCGGACACTCCCTCCAATCTCTTTTTATCAGAGGAATTTTTTTGCAAAACATTAGTTTAGTTGATCTAGCTTCGGGCAATATTGTAAAGCTGTCCAGATATATATATATATATGCGTTTCTCTACATTGTATTCTGAAAGGTGTCTAAAAAAAGAAATTTTCTAGAAATTTGTTCTTAGTCTTTTTCAATAATTTGCTTGGGCAATGAATCCTTTAATAATTTTAGCTTCTCATTTTACAATTCTTCAATCTCCTATTCATAATCCTATATAGTATACCATTAATACTTTCTCAGGATGATCTTAGAAAACTAACATGAGCTAAGCAAAACTAATTTTTCTTTTTTTCTGAAACTTTTTTCAGCCTTGAATGTAACATCATTGTTAAACAGAACTATCTTTCTTTCTCTTCTCCCCCTAGAAACTGGGATGGAGGGGGGGGGGGCGCCTCCTGTAGTTCTACGATCTCTACAGTGTGCAGTTTATGTTTTATATATTTAACATGTAAACAATATTATATATATATTAGATATATGGGATTACACTAATATTTATGCTAAGGAAATTGATAGCAACATTTTATAAAAAGGGTATGAGCGTCGTAAGTCTTGATACATTAAACCAAGTGTTTAGTATTTATGTTCATCACTTAACATCTTCAAGCAAAAACTATATTAAAGAGAGCAAAAATAAAGCATAATTGGATTTTTTTATTCAAACGTATAATAATATGTCATTTGATGTTTGGGACATTATACGTTACATACGTTTATTTATTTTGATTTTTCATAAACATTCTATATAATTTTACATATCTAATTCTATATCCATGATTTTTCTATCTATTTCTCCATCTATCTTCTATATGTGGTTTATTACCATTTCCCTCACGTCCTAACTTCTTATGGTCAAGGACCTTAATATATACCTTCACATCATTCCGTCTACGGTATGGAGGAGAAGGATCGACCAATCTAACCATATTTAGGGCCAGCAGAATAGTATAACATGGGGTAAAAAGTGGAAGGGGGGGGGGGAATGTTTTTAAGAACAAATTTGGGGCTTTCAAATGAAAAATAAAACTTTAGTAAGAAACAACGCAAAATAACCAGCCATGAATCATGGTTTACGATGCTTCTTGTATTTAGTGTTACTTTTTACATAATCTCCTTTATTTCTGATCAGAATATAGAAGAAGTATATTTCTAATGTATATATTTCTAACTCAATACTACAACATTAATTTGTTATCTATAGTTGCCCCGCCCCTACCCACCCTCTTAGGACTACCTACAGATATTAACCTGCCCCGCCCCACCTTTCTATATACTGGAACCAGGGACAGATATTCCTTACATTTTTATCCAATACACTCCTTTCTTAACTTTTAATATAATTATTCACTATCACTGACCTTTCACTAACCTTTCTTATACTTTCACATTTCCAAATTTTTCCCTTTCTTTTTATCTTATTCTTGCTTATTATTGTATTATTGTATTATTGTAATATTGTATTAATGTATTATTGTATTATTAGATTATTAGATTATTAGATTATTGTATTATTGTATTATTCTATTATTGTATTATTAAATTATTGTATTATTATATTATTGAATTCAGAAAACCTGTATTTTTATCAGATTTGCAAAAGGACAGTGCAAAAGTGCAACCATGTGTAATTAGACTTGTGCCAACCCCATTTTAATCAGTTAGATGTAAATTGGCCAGTCATGAATCGTGACATTTCAGGGGAACTAGACTCCTTCAACTTATCCATTATTCTTTAGCTATTTATCCATAAGTGTTTTAGCTATTTATCCATCAGTCTTTAGCTATTTATCCATCATTCTGTAGCTATTTATCCATCAGCCTTTAGCTATTTATGCATCAGTCTAGCTCTTTATCCATCAGTCTTTTGCTATTTATGCATCAGTCTTTAGCTATTTATCCATCATTCTGCAGTTATTTATGCATCAGTCTTTAGCTCTTTATCCATCAGTCTTTAGCTATTTATCCATCAGTCTTTAGTTATTTATCCATAAGTATCTTTGGCTATTTATGCATTAATATTTAGCTATTTATCCATCAGTCTTTAGCAATTTATCCATAAGTGTCATTAGCTATTTATGCAAAATTCTTTGGCTATTTATCCATACGTCTTTAGCTATTTATGCATCAGTCTTTAGCTATTTATGCATCAATATTTTGCTATTTATCCATCATTCTTTAGCTATTTATCCATTAGTCTACTATAGCTTTTTATCCATAATTGTCTTTAGCTATTTATGCATCATTCTTTAGCTATTTATCCATAAGTCTTTAGCTATTTATGCATCAGTCTTTAGCTATTTATGCATCATTCTTTAGCTGTTTGTCCATCATTCTTTAGCTATTTATGCATCATTCTTTAGCAATTAATCCAAAAGTGTTTTAGTTATTTATCCACCAGTCTGTAACTATTTATCCACCATTCTTTAGCTATTTATCCAAAGGCCTTTAGCTATTTATGAATCAGTCTTTAGCTATTTATCCATCATTCTGTAGCTGTTTATCCACCATTCTTTAGCTATTTATCCATAAGCCTTTAGCTATTTATGCATCATTCTTTAGCTATTTATCCATCATTTTTTAGCTTTTTATTCATCATTATATAGCTATTTATCCATCACTATACAGCTTTTTATCCATCCTTATATAGCTATTTATCCATCATTCCTATTTATTTTTAAAGCATTCTACTCTATCCCCTTGTTTCTCCTTAACCCGTTGATATGTATTCCCCCTGTGGACCCCCCATGGTCCCAATAATAAAGAAAGTTCTCCCCAGTTTAAAACCAATTTTTCTCTTGATAAATGGGGGTTGTCATATAAGGAATGAAAAAACTTTGATATTCTTAAACTTTCATTCTCTTCAATTCTCACTTACACCCCCCCCCCCCATATTTGGGAGAGTTTTTTCTTTTTCAATTTATAAAATGATATTTTAATCTTTAAATACTCCTTCAGCTGCGATATGATGTGAGGGTATGTTACTATCGGTTCCTTTAGCTGCGATATGATGTGAGGGCATGTTACTATCGGTTCCTTAAACTTTTATCTAGAAATTAGTCAATATTGTGTCTGCAAGGTCTATCAGGAGCGCATGTGCCTGAAAAAAGTTGATCAGAATAATATTTAAAGCTTAAATATCTTCGTTTTCTCATCTTATCCTTCATGTATCAACCTGTATACTATACAATTAGGTTTAAGATTCTTGTAAAAACTGATGTAATTAAAAGTATTTGAGAGAAGTAATTAACATCTATCATCTAATTAGGGCAGGTTAATCGACCTTTAATTATTGCAGTTGAACATAACGTAATATTCTTTAATTACTCGACCAATCTAACCATATTTAGGGCCAGCAGAATATAACTAGCTGAAAAAAATAAGAGTAGAATAATTGATACTTTTTTATGAAAAATCAGAACAATTTTTTATTTTCATCTGGCCAAATAGAAGTATTAACTATTGAACGTTTATCTTATTTAAAATTAATTGAAATTTGTAGTTAATTTGATTTAAAATCATTAATCACCAAGAACTCAAAACTTTAATTTCTCCCATTAGTGTTTTAAAGACATGCAAATTAAAAAGTTTATACGTTAATGTTTTTTTTTAAAAATCTTTCATTGAATTTATTTAACTTTAGTTGGTCATTTCTCTTCTTTTATTTATTAAAAGTATTTTAATTTTTCCTGTATAAAACTATAAAAGTATGACAAGTTTTAAACATTGCTTATCCATCAGTCTTTAGCTATTTATCCATCATTCTGTAGCTATTTATCCATCAGTCTTTAGCTATTTATCCATCAGTCTTTAGCTATTTATCCATCAGTCTTTAGCTATTTATCCATCATTCTTTAGCTATTTATCCATCAGTCTTTAGCTATTTATCCATCAGTCTATAGGGGGGGGCGCCTCCTGTAGTTCTACGATCTCTACAGTGTGCAGTTTATGTTTTATATATTTAACATGTAAACAATATTATATATATATTAGATAATATCAAGACACATGGAATTGATTTTTACACCTACATGTAAACTAGTTTGAGAGTGTACAGTTCCTTTTTTTTCTTTAAAAAACCGCAACATTGATCGTTTGTTTACAAACAAAACCAGTTTAACGTTGAAGGAATAGTGATTAATGAAAAAGATAGTTATTTTAAAATGGTTTTAAAACTCATCTTACGATGTCTTATTCCTTCAAATTTTTAGATCTGGAATCGACGGTTTCCGCTCAAATATTATGATGGGAAAGCAGCGTGTTAAAATAATTTGTATAAGCTTTTTCCTTTGATCTTATATATTCGACTTTTAACGGTTTTTTTTTGACATTACAGCTCAATAATATATAAACATGTGTGTAAAAGTTTTGTAGATAGTAAACACAGAAACAAAATACTAGATATCTGGGAAGCAAATCAGATCGGTTCAAAGTAACTAAATGAGCTCTTTCTCCGTCTGTGGAGACTAACCTCTTTTCTCATTCATAAGTTTCCAAACATTTCAATAGTGTTTGTACTTTTTGAATGAAAATTTTGGTATAGTTTTTTTACAATATAAATAGTTGTATATACATTTATGATATAAAAAATAGCCAATGCTTCACGAAATTAATAATTAAATGCATTTATTTTTGGTTGAGTTGTAAAGTTTAATGTATTATTGTGTAATGTGTACACTGTACATACCGTACATTTTTAAAAGATTGCAGTACGCACGTACTTTGAACAACACATTGAGTACATAATTAGTTATTAACCTAAATCTACTGAATTATAATTGTAGAGGTTCGTGTGTATAGTGGGGATGGAGACCTGCATCAACTTCTCTCGGTTTCGCATATCATGACCGCAACTACAAACGCGGCATTAGGTAATATATAAATATTAAGATAATATTTCTTATATTTTACATATCTATCCAAAGCTTTGGGCTTCATGGGTTAAATGGTTGTGAGGGGGTTGGGTGTGACCCTGTTTTACAAGTTTTCTATGTCGTCCAAAAGGGCGGCTTCAGGATTTAAGATAGTGGTGGGGGAAAATTACACCCCCCTAAATTCATGTTTTTAGGCAAATGTCTTGATAATCCATTTATTTATCTAAAAACGACATACATAAATATAATGTATGTATTGAACTTTATACATTAACATTTAACATATCATATTATATTATTCTGATAAATGGGAGAATTATTTTTAATTCCTGCTGTTATTATTGATATTTTATTAAATTCCCGGTAAAATTGTTCAAGTGCGGGTAAACGGCGGAAGTAACTTTTAGTAACCTTGGGAGCGCTGGGTTCCCATGAGCATAATGATAAATATAGTTATTATTTTAGGGTAAATTGGTTAAACCCAAAAATGTCATAAAGAAAGTTTTCTGTGTAAAATACTTAATTAATTTACGAGATCAGTTAAAGCTTTAAATTTTTAATGGTTGCGTGATATAAAGCGATAAAAAGTTTGATTAGTGGTATCTTCAGCTTAGAATATATCCATTAGGATTCAGCAAAAACATCAAATATACAGGGTGAGTCACATTACATCTGGATTGTAAATTGGTCAAAATACGGGGTTAAATGGGGATGTGACAGAAACTTTTCCTAAAGATAAATTCATTTTATAATGTATTAAGGGTCTAAGTGGTATTTTGCAATTTTCTCAATTTGTATGGACGCCATGTTATTCGGTATGAGACGTCTTTAACAATTTTCTCCTTATAGACGCAACAGATAGAAGTAAGATTAGTAGAGATAAAAGCGCTTTTTTATCGCATTAAGCCTATACCCCCTTTCATTTTTCGTGAACACTCCCTTTAATGTATCAAGGGAATTGTTTTGTTTCCCCATACAGAGTGATGTAGTTAACTCTTACAAAACTATGCACAGGGTGTTTCATAAAACATTGAAATTTAGTGTAGACATTTTAGAACAACTGAAAGACCCAGTTTGTGTCTTAAAATTTTAAAGACATATTGCAAAAACCTTCGGCTCAATTTTTTTATAAATATATAAAATTCAAAGGTTTTTAAATAGGCAAGACAAAAGGTTAGAAATCCCTGCCAAGAAAATATTTTTGATATTGCTATATTTGTTGCTAGTATTATCAGATTCACAAACAAATTCAGTATAAGTTGAAAACTGGTTTAAGTCGAACTTTGATTCCCATGTTTAATGTTTATCGGAAAACTATGTAGGTAAACCCTCTCATATAAATTGAGTAAGAATATTTCAAATTTTCTTAACTTAGAAATGAAATTAATAATTGATTAATTGTTTAGAAAGTGTACTTGAGGTCGGAGGCCTTGATGCTGGTCTAGTCAAAACAGAACCTGAGGATCTTACTGGTCGACACAGACATGATACAGAGGTTTAAACATTATCTAGTCTATCCTATGATGGTTGAAGGTTACGGTGCAAAGAAAGACGCCACTGCTTAAATACTAACCAAATATGCTTTTTTTAACTAATAAAGAGAATTAAAAGAGAATCATTAAAATAGACGAGATTTTATATTTAATTTAGTCCAAATATTTGGTAAACGGATGTATTATTACATTTACAAAATCGATTCTAAAACCTTTTTATTTTTCAGTCGTCCCTGCCTCTAGATGTGACGACGAAAGCCATGGGAATCGTTAGTCAGGACGGAGATAGCATCATTCTCAATCGTAAGTGTATTAGTCATTTAGAAAAATGTTTCTATGTCCCTTTTCTTTTTAAACTCGTCTTTCCTTTTGCATGTTCGTCCTTTTTTCTGTTAAATATCTTCCCTTACTTCCCCCCTGGTTTCAACTAATGAGGTCTGCTGTACTTCTTACCCTAAGATTTATTTGTGAAGATTTATTATTGAGTATATTCAAGTCATCTTTAGAAATGATGCACTCACTACATGTTTTGTATACTTTAATACACTTCACACATTTTCAACTATTTATCTATATAGATGCAAAACAAAAAAATCAACTTTCACACCGTCATGGAAAATGTATTTTTGTGGACTTTAATGAACTGGCTATTGCATATTTCTAAATGCATTAATAGCATATATCAATATTGTTACAATGGATGAGTGCACACCTATTAGTTGGGTATAATAGCCTAGCTTCTATACAGCTTTTATATGGACATGTGCTTCTCTTTTCAACCTTAATAAAGTTTATAATGTGATACAATAAGTATTTACGTTATTGTGAAAATGCAAATGTATTCTTTGGTCGAAGTTGATGTTTATTCAAAATATTTTTAGTTTACATATCCGTACTTGTTGGAGCAAAATTTGTAGTGTGTTAATACCTCGTTAAAAATATTTAACATGTAAAACTAGAAAATAAATATAAGTTTTCATCTCTCCCTAAACCATCCTTTACACCCTCTACCCTGTCATAATAACATTTTATTGCTTTCCCCACCAGTGCACACAACCCAACCTTACTTCTTTTTGCCTATTCCCTTATCCGTCCCACACGAAGACTAGTTACTGCGTGGGTGATTTTAAATCCCCATGTAGCGTGTAGACTTTGAGGACTGTCATTGTATCACCATCAATATACTGTATTGCATACTAAGTATTACAAAGCAGAAAATTTGCTTTAAAATCTCCTCCCATCACCCTTCCTTACAGGGGTGAGCAGACGAGGGGGAGCTTTCCAATCCATATTTAGGGGGAGGGGTGGATGGGGGCATTGTCACTGAGAGTAAGTACATTCTCAATATTTCTAAGGGTGGGGGTTTTATTTTAAAAAACCTTGTGAGCGCCCCAAACTTTGACCTATTTTGTTAACTACATAGTGCTTTGAAATTCTATTTTATGTTCCCCGTAATATAAATATTGCAAGAATTCGTTTAATTAAATATGTTACACTAGCTAAGAATAATTAAATGTATTCCTGGAATCTTTAATCAAATAAGAGAATAAAAAAGGGAAGTTTTAAGAAGAATGAAAAAAATGTGGAAACCTAAGATGAATTCTAGAAACCAGCAAATGCGCCAAAAGCTTCCGAATTGAGAAACTATCAGGAATAAAACAGTTTTATTTTAAAAGCATCTTTAATTTCTTCGCTATTCATTGTTGAAACGAACTGGTTTTTGTTGAACAAATCCTAATATTAAATAGAGACATTTATGTTTCAGGTTTAAAACCTATCCTTGTAAACGATGTAAATATTAAAAATTCTTAAATAAACAGGATTTTAAAAAATCGGGTTACGAGACGAGATCGTGGAAGAAAACCAGATTGACGCAGATGGTTCGAAGGATCAAGAAACTGGATTGACGCGAGTGGTTTACAGGATTAAGAAACAGGATTGAAGAAGAGATGAGTTGAGGACGAGATTGACACATTGATTGATTCTGCCTTGTCTTTGGTGGTCAAGCTGTATGTTATTATTTTCTACATAAAGCTAGATTACCAAAGCAAAGGCAAAATTCATATTCTACATTCATCACTCTACAGTCTACAGTCTACAGTATACATTCTTCACTCTACAGTCTACAGTATACATTCTTCACTCTACAGTCTACAGTCTACAGTCTACAAGTCTTTAGTCTACAATATACAATATTTAATATAGGAATTACAAGTTTTAACTATGTATGTATAATGTATATGTCTAATGGTCAACATGTAAAATGGCCAACATGTCTAATGGTCAACATGTCTAATGGTCAGCATGTCTAATGGTCAACATGTATAATGGTCAACATGTATAATGGTCAACATGTCTAATGGACAACAGGTCAACAGGTCTAATGGTCAACATGTCAACATGTTTAATGGTCAACAGGTCAACATGTCTAATGGTCAACATGTATAATGGTCAACATGTCTAATGGTCAACAAGTCAACAGGTTTAATGGTCAACATGTCTAATAGTCAACAGGTCTAATGGTCAACAGGTCTTATAGTCAGCATTGCTGACTATACTCAGCATATGTCTAATGGTCAGCATGTCTAATGGTCAGCATGTCTAATGGTCAGCATGTCTAATGGTCAACAGGTCTAACGGTCAACAGGTCTAACGGTCAACAGGTCTAACGGTCAACAGGTCTAACGGTCAACAGGTCTAACGGTCAACAGGTCTAACGGTCAACAGGTCTAACGATTGTACAGGTTTACAGGTTTACGGCTGTCTAGCTGTCAGGTTTCTGTATTGATAGTTTCCATATTATGTTCAATTTGTATACAATACATTCACTACAGGGTCCTCTACTTATATAGAGGGGGGGGGGGAGGGGTAAGCTATATAGGGAGCGTTCTGTATGTTAGGTGGGGGGTTAAGTGTTGTGATTTGGCATGCTAGATTTTCAATGCATTATAAGATATTTAAGGTTGATAGTTTAATCAATATTGGATATAAAATAACATTTGCCCCCTCTACCCCCCCCTCTATCCCGTCTATCCCCCCTGTCCTCCAGGTTCATTAATGGGAATAGGTATGCACATAAATAAACCAATATGGGCAATAAAATCAAAGCTAGCAGTTGATTGCACTTTTCCAACTTTTTGCCCACTTGTAATTGTAATCTTTAGTTCTAAAAGACGTAGCAACTTAAACCATTCATATAATATTTTCAAGTTAAATGTTCCAAGCACCTGCGGTTAGGTCTGGGTATATTTCACCTTTTTTCTTTCTTAACAGAAAATAAAGATGCAAATATTTAACGTAATAAACAAGCATTAGTGATCGTAAAGATCAACATGATGGTGTCTTAGCTTTCAAGCATTGGCTGTCGCAATTGAGTATCCGTCTTAGATAATTTTAATATAATTTTCATTAAGATCATTAAACTGAAACGACATATTTTTCGTTTTTTCTTGGATTTCTATTTTTGTCTGGTTCTTGCTGTTTGATTTTCTTATTCTAATGATAAACAGATCTAGTTTGGTTTGGAAATACTATGATCAACTCTAATTGAAGATTATCTTGATCTGTTTGGGAATTTATATTGGGGAGAAGAATATCGTCTATCTGCTTGCAAACTGGTTGGTTTCCTTTTTAATAGTAATTTACATAGTTGTATTATTGGTAACCTGTTTCTAATTCATAGCAAGTCAAGTTGGTTAATTTTTTAATACAAAATAGGACCGTATAAATATAACAAAACATATACTAAGAAATAAAAGCATGCACAGTGCCTATGGCTGCTCAATCTGATAAAATATATATTTTATGATTCTGAGTTCCGATCTTTTTCTGTTTAACTGCATTCAATCACCATTGCATTGCTTCATACATAGAAGGTTGGGACTAGAAATCTGATATCAGGGTTGAAAATCTGATTGTTTGGTTTCGTATTATTTAAACTTGATTCTTATTCATCGATCCTTTATCCTTCCTTTCATTTACCAATCGATCATACATCCTTCTTTCCACTTACCAATCGATCATACATCCTTCTTTCCATTTACCAATCGGTCATACATCCTTCTTTCCATTTACCAATCGATCATTCATCCTTCTTTCCATTTACCAATCGATCATACATCCTTCTTTCCATTTACCAACCGATCATATATTTTAAGTTCCGTATACATACACACCAATCCTTTATCCATATTTACAGACATACCAATCTTTTTATCCTTAGTTCCATATACACACCGATCCTTTTATCCTTCCTTCTTTATACACACCGATCATTTATCCTTACTTTTATAAACAAACTGATCCTTTACGCGTCTGTTTACTTGTAGATACATTTATATTATCCCCCCCCCCTCCACCGTTTCACCTTAATCCCTTCCAGTGTCCTCCCCCTCCTGAGCCTTTTCTGCTTCTACATTATAAGCTTAGTTTGGTTTGGATCTTCATGCATTGCCCCCCTCCCCCCCTCATTCACCGTCTAGTCCCTGAACTAATCAAAATCTTATTGTTGAATATCCGTCTTAAGATTTAATGTATTCAGTATCAGATCACAGGCTCCTGGATTCTAAAGGTGGAAGGAGGGGGGAGGGGGAAAGGGAGTATAGAGAAAAGGAAAGTATGGGGAAAGGAAAATAAGTTGGAAAGTAAAGTAAGGGACAGGAAAGTAAGGGGGCAGGAGGAAAGTAAGGGGGATAGGAAAATAAGTTGGAAAGGAAAGTAAGGGGGACAGCATGAAAGTAAGGAAGACAGCAAGAAAGTAAGAAGGATAGGAAAATAAGGGTGGCAGGAAAGTAAGGGGGAAAGTAAAATAAGGGAGAAAGTAAAAAAGGGAGGAAATAAAGTATAGGGAGAAAGAAAAGTGAGGGAAATAAATTAAAGGGGAAAGGAAAGAAGAGAGGAAAGGAAAGTAAAGAGGGGGGGGGGAAATGAGGATTGAAGGTGGTAATAGAACTGGTAATCGAACAAGGATTAAATGTATAAATACAATCAAAGATTAAATTCAGTGGTTTCGGTAAAGAAAATTAGTAGAAACTTTTCGAGTGAACTTTTTAAAGATACAGGTTGCACATTAGACTGTAAGCCGTAAGGTAAATAAATCTAAGGTTAAATTTTGCTGAAAATGAAGTGTGGGGGTTGGAAGGGAGGGGACTAAATCAGTTTATGATGGGTAGTAAAGTAGAAGCTACACATACAGGAAAACGAGCTTAAAGTTAAAATTCTTCGCTAAACCTATTGTATATTTAACGTATCCGCATACAGGTATTTAAGTAGGATTTCTACTGCTGTTTTTACAAGTTGAATCTTTAGGATGAAATGTTAATTGATTGATTTATTTCAGCTGATGATCTACCTCTAGCTCCTGGATTTTCCTCGACAACCCTCTCATCATACGATTCTACTCCCTTCTCATCCTCATACAGTGTGTCAGAGCATAGCAGGTCATCTTACGGTTAAACTTGATTTCCCCAATCAGATAAAGGCTTTTGACTTAAAATTAATCGTATGACATAGAAACAACTACTGAGAATCTAGATTTTAACAAGTTAAATAAAATTTGCAATGTCGTCTCTATATTCTAAAATTTAATAGGTAACCCTGTACTCTTTATACCATGGTTATCCCTTTTCCTTTTCGGAGGGTTGACATCTAGCTAACTGTTTATCTATCTATTCTTGAAGATTACTGATTACTCCATATATAGATACTGACCTGTAATTGGTCCAAAGAAATATTTGTATCAGTCTATATCTGTTCTCCTGTCAAACGCAAGAATGCGTAATATTTATAAATGACGCACACCGCGTAACATTTGACCTCAAATCCTAGCAGTCAATAATTTAAGAGTTGGTTCCTTTTTAACCCTTTTTTAGAGAGTTGAATTCCAAATGTTTTCTTTCTCTAAATGCTTCCCGCACGTCATTAACTAAAGATAATAAAGAAATAAATGATTATTTTTTTATGGTTTATTCAATTTATTCTCAACACCCGGCCCCTACTCGATTAATTGCCTGAATTAAAGTATGTCGGCTGAATTAATGTTTATTTGATGAAGGATTGACATATAGTGAAACCTCCCAGCGAAGGCATTTACAGGGGAACACTAAAACTATTCAGTTTAAATCAGCGTTATAAAACATTAATTCTGGTTAGGAAGTTATTAAAACCTAAGATATGAATGAACATGATTCTTCATACACCCTGGGGTTCAGAGCCCAACTTACAGATTTTAGTCTATATTTATTCAGTTCCTAAATCATACTCTGACCTAGAACACTCCTGGAACCAATGTACATATATACATACATTTATACAAACATATAAAATGTACATTTAACAGAAAACGCCCAGCCTACATTCTTGCATTCATTTTTGCCCATTCCTATCTCTCCTGCTGCTAAAGAACGTCAACTTAAAAATTATATAATTATTTTTTAATTTAAAAAGATTTTTGTCTCAAGATTTTTTTTTCACACCTTAATAATATCAAATATTTTTTAGAATTTACGATTCCCCGTATAGAGAAGACAGTTTGTACGATGGATACAGAGCTCCTAACTCCAGCTACTTTGTTTCCGGTTCCGGTACTCCAGGTCTATCCGTGGACCTACCTAGTCCTGACTCTGGGATAGGTCCTGACCAGGTAGATATTTTACTAAGGTTTAGGTGTGCACTGATTTATACAGTGTACTGTGAGACTATTTTAAGATAAGAATTAAGTTTGTTTATATAATTAATGTTGAAGGTAAAACTAATAAATATTTGTAAAGTCTCTCCACTGTAGCAATAAATCTAGGAGTTATCTCTCTCTCTACTCTCTTACATAAACCAAGCACAGTTGCTGGAGCAACAATAAATACCTTCTTACTCTCATACAATTCTCCCCTTCTCTCTCTTGTACTGGCGACTATCAGTCTTTCTCGAAAAATGTTTTCAACATTGTTTAAATGTTTCAAAATTTGAATGTTAAGATTAAAGATTAAAATACTTTTTTTGTGATATGGTTTTTTAAAATAGTAAAATATATATATTTAAACTTGTGAATTTAGAGTTGATGTTTATGAATATTCTTTGGTTTGAAATAATTGGTTCCATGATTGTTGGTGGATTGTTGGGTTGAATACCAGGGCCTAAACTTTATGCCTGTGAGAACCAAGCCAGGAATGCAACTAGTGAAACATCAATAGATTCCTTCTAGGTTTAGTATATATATAAAAATACCAAGTACTTCTTAGTACTTGCCCAGTACCTACCTAGTTTATATACACGGCTCCTATGGATAGTTTTTTTTCTGGACATTCTTAGCAGGTTTAGTGAGAATTCGAAGTGTCTTTAGAGTTCATTCTGGATTTAGACTCCATTCTTAGAGGGTTCAGAGTCAATTCTGAGTTGGTTTAGACTCCATTCTTAGCCTAGTCAGAGTACATTCTTAGCAGGTTTAGATTCTATATTTGGTGGACTAAAACATCATTCTTAGTATACGGTAAAGAGTTTAATCTTAGTTGGAACAGAAAGTTCATTATTAGTGTGAAGAGCTCATTCTTAGTGGGTTTAGAGAGTCCATTATTAGTGGGTTCAGAGTGTCCATTATTAGTGGGTTCAGAGTCCATTATTAGTGGGTTTAGAGAGTCCATTATTAGTGGGTTCAGAGTCCATTATTAGTGGGTTCAGAGTCCATTCTAAGTTGGTTTAGGGTCCATTCTTAGTTGGTTGAGAGTCCATTCTTAGTGGGTTCAAAGTTCATTCTTAGTGGGTTCAGAGTTCATTCTTTGTAGGATTAGAGTCCATTCGATCTTAATGGGTTTAGAGTCTGTTCTTAGATGGTTTAGAGCCTATTCTTAGTGGGTTTAGAGTCTATTCTTAGTGGGTTTCGAGTCTATTCTTAGTGGGTTTAGAGTCTATTCTTAGTGTCTATTTTATTTAATCTAACTTATCTCAATGCTTGAGTAATCTCTAGTTAATTATCAGAGCAGATATAACCAAGATACTTAAGCTTCCAAATATCTTATCTATTAGATATATATGTATATTGTATATTGTATGTATTGTATAATGTTATATTGTATCTGGGTATGGTATGTGTACGTCCAGGTCTATAATGCATGTGAAGATAAAACTGCTCAATAAACAGCCTAATATATAAAGTATAAAAATGATCTATGCTATACACCACTTTATGATTACTTTATGTTAATACATCAGTATAAAGTAGAACACTTATTTTTCTTGCATAAACACACTTTCGTGTGTTTTTTTTCACAATCGATATCTTTTTCTTTACCAAATTCCACTTTCTCGACGTTGTAAGTATTTTTTATGTCTTTTTCTAAAATTTATATTTAAGATGAAATTAAAGTGTAGTACAGTTTGCAGTACAAAATCTAAATTGTTTGTCGTAATTTATCCTTCCGTCATCATTGTAGATTCCCCTGGTTAATATCCTTGGTTTAAACTTTTAGCCCCCCCCCCCTTCTACCTCTCCCATGAATCTCACCTTACACAGTCCCAACACCTATGGCTAAGTACGATATATACCGCGATAAAAGGGTTATAAATGATATTACAAAAAATATTATCGCATCCATTAAAGCGGGAGTGCACTTTTTCCAGCTGTCACCTAGAGGAGCATTAATCTTAGGATAAAATATATATATATATATACTGATAGTTAGATAGCTGTACAGACAGATAAAAATATGGTTAGATAAATATTGAGATAGGACTAATAGATATGGTTTCTTACTTACGTTTCTTACATACTTAGTCAAGTGAGAGTACTGCATTACATTTGAGTACATGTTTATATGTTGTATATACACATGTAGAAACAGATGTAGGTAGATAGATGGAATTGACAAATTGAGCATTTCGATTTCATTTTGAAGCAGCAATTTTAAACTTTAAAGTAAGATTCAGATCAATTCAAAAGGTTTTGGACTCATATCTAGGTAACAAATGCTGTATCTTGATAGATAGATAGATAAATAGATTATTATTTATCTATCTATTTATCTGTGGTACATATTTGAAAATCTATTTTAGACGCTTTGTTTAACTGTTTAATTGCTCCTGCTCTAGGCATTTTCTGCCCTTAAATAGTTATACATTTAGATAGATAGGTTGGAAGGGAGATAGCTATTTCATGCATAAATAAAGAGTTTTGCTAGATTGATTGATGAATAGATTGTTTAGATGAATGCATTTTTAATATCTTAAGTTATAGAAATGGACGGACCTAGACCTAAGAAGAATATGTTTTTATTTTCCTTAAGATCAGATTTGAAAAGTACTTAACGAGTTGAGTTTACTGTGTTCAAGAATTAGCTTTTAAACACATTTAACCAGTATTTTTTAAACGTTTAAATCTCATTGAGATCTAGATTTAGATGAGGGTTTGAAGCGCTTTCTTTCAATTTAATGATTTCATGATTTAAATTTGCAAATACCTGAATGTTGCCCTTTTTGATTGATTGAGAGGTATTATCCATTTATTCTATCTAACTCTGAACCTAAACCAACAAGTCTCTAGAGCACCCATTATCAAATTTTCCGTCTGCTTATATTTCCATAATTTCGGCCTGATTTCGCAGATTTTTCTGCGCTGACGCAAAAATGTGCAAATCTCTGATTAAAAATGTGGTAAACGTGGTGCTGGCCTGCTCCCCACTAGTCGGCCCAGGGCTAAACACTTTTTTATCAGTCCGGGCTCCCTTGCACGAAATTCTGCTTCATATTTTGACTAGAATTAAAAAGTATAATTCATAAAATGTTCTTAAATTGCTAATGCTGAGATGTTTCATGCTAGGATCTGGGTCATCCAATATATTTGAAAATATACAGGATTAGTATATCATGAGACCGTATAATCTGGAAGGGATAGAAACAACTTGCTTCCACTTTTCATGTATCATACATGCATCACGCACCTTCAAGTGCACCCCGCCCCCCTTCGTCATATAAGCACAAGCATATTTCAGACCAACTCACTCTAAAGTTTTATATTTTTCAAAAAAAGAAACTTTGATTACCCTGCTCTTACCCTTCAGTTTAAAACATCTCATAGTTTTCCTCAATCTACATATTTTCGATTCTAAGCACGCCTTTAAAGGTTTTTAATTTAAAAACAACAAAGATTTAAATGCATATTTTCTGTTTTCAACAACATAATTCTTGTAATTATAGCCTGTCGGCTGCCATCAGTTTGGAAAAGATTAGATGTTTTCAATTTTGCATTAAACTCTCCAAAGTTTTCATTTCAAATTAGAACAGCACAGTCTGCTATTATACGAGAAATTCATTGAGATGAACTGGACGGGATGAGTGGGGGGGGGGGGGAGTTAAAAACCCGAAATTCCGGAATATAAATCCAGGAAATGATCTCGAGTTTTCACAGCGGGATGTGGATTTACTGGTTTTTCCTGATCTTTACCCATCCTCTCTATACACCATAGACCTCTACCCTTCAGTTCTAATACAGGCTTCAAGCTTAAACATTCTAGTCTTTTAACTCTATTGTACAGTGTACGTACATACTCTACAGTACAGTGTACATACATACTCTACAGTACAGTGTACATATACATGCTCTACAGTGGGCTGTACATACATACTTTACAGTACAGTGTACATATACATACTCTAAAGTACAGTGTACATACATACTCTACAGCACAGTGTGCATACATACTCTACAGGACAGTGTACATATACATACTCTAAACTACAGTGTACATACATACTCTAAAGTACAGTGTACATACATACTCTACAGTACAGTGTACATACATACTCTACAGTACAGTGTACATATATACTCTAAAGTACAGTGTACATACATACTCTAAATTACAGTGTACATACATACTCTACAGTACAGTGTACATACAGCTAAAGTGGATTTGTTACAAGAGACCTCCGACCTTTTGAGAAGGAGTGACTAACCCTGTTGTCCAGAAAGGAGTGATCATCCAACTACAAATGAGTGCCTAACCTTCTAATATTTGATGAACCCCCTTACATAAATGGTTTACTATATTTGACTAAACCTCCCGGGAAGGGTCGACTCTAGATCTTCTTGGTGGTCCAACCTAGTTAGTACGTAAACTTCTTGATTAAGATCGTATTCCAGGTATCATACTTGAACGATCAACTAGTGAAAACGTTATAAAATGGTTGATTTAAGATGTTTAACTGAATTCCTGAAATATGCTGCAGGGTTTTCTTTAAACTCGAGAGAACAGGATCTAAACTATACACATCATACAATCATAGGTGTGTTTATCCATACAGAAAATAATAAATTGAAATCTTATTTAATCCTGGTGGTCACACTGAACGTTAACAAATTATCAGCCACAGGGAGGAATATTTCTTACTAAAGATTTTACCATGTCAGAGATAATGTTGGTGCCCATTTAATAATTTTTTATAAAATCAATTATCTTTAGTTCTAAATTTTTAAACTTCTTTCTCTTCCCCCCCCCCACCCTCCGGTGCCACTTCATCCTATAGCTCCTTCCAAATCCCTTCAGCATTTCCTGTGTCAGTTCAGGGCTCCATTCCATCACCCCCCCTCTCCCCCTTCACCTTCTTCCTTTTTTCTTCCCCATTCTCCGCCTTTCTCCATACCCTTCTCCCCCTCCCCCATCCTACCCCTTTACCCGTACTATTCTCCTTCCCCCCACACTACTGCCCCTCTACCGCACTACTACTCCCCCTCTATCGCACTACTACTCCACCTCTACCGCACTACTACTCCACCTCTACCGCACTACTACTCCCCCTCTACCGCACTACTACTCCACCTCCATCGCACTACTACTCCACCTCTACCGCACTACTACTCCACCTCTACCGCATTACTACTCCGCCTCAACCCCACTACTACTCTCTACCTCTTCTTCTTACATCTCTAATCAACGGACACCTGCAATATTCGTACATCATGTGAACCTTGAATAAGCCAAGCTACCCGTAAAAAATATTTTGCCTCGAGAATGAGTTTTTTTCATGCAATTTCATAATTCACTGCTGGGGGGAAAGAACAGTGAATTTTATGCCCAGAAGATCGTAAACTAAAGACAATTAGGACCTATTATTCTCTTTCTGAAACGTTTTCACAAATATTTATAAACCTTCCCAACCCTCCAGCTTCGAGTCCTGGCCTTCTGTAACGAATGAAAGATATAATTATCTCGCTACTAAGCTAGAAAAGGCACTTGAACTTAAATTACCTTATTACAATAAAAATGCTACCCCCCCCCCCCCCCCCCCTCCTCTGCCCTATTCACATTTTTCACAGGGATATTCAAGTCTTCGGAAAGTTTTTGTTGCAACTGTTTGATGTTACTTAATTGATGCAAATAGCAAATATGGTGTATTATGCATATTAATAATGTATATAACTTGCCTGTGGTTCAATGATATATTAGCGTATGATTGATGATTGATGAGTAGTGATTAAACCCTGAGGATAATTAACGAAGAATGAAATACATAAATTTATATCTCAGTATCTGTTCAGCTTTAGTAGAGAAATCAACCTTCTAGGTTTATAAACACAATAATTTACTGAAAAAGTTTAGAAGTGCTGTTTTCATTGTTTGAAACCTAAACGCGCCAATAAAGCAACATCGTAATCACACACCTTTGTGAAACTTGTGATAGCAATTAAGGAAAATTTAATGTAGAAAAGAACAACCTACTTAAAATTATTTTGAAATCAATGATTTGTTAAATACACTAAAAAGTCTAATTATTATTCATACACAGTACTATGTATCTAATAAAGATATTTATTGTTTAGATAACCCCCCGTGAGCTTGGATCTGATTATGATTATTCAACTCAAAATATCCTTGATCAAAATACCATCAGGAGACCTTGGCACGACTACGGCAGAGGGAATAGGTAAACAAATCTTCAAATATTTAATTATTTACAATCTATTAAATTACGCCACTTAATTTCAGCAACTGCTTGCCGTTCCTTATCTTCCAAATGCAAACCATTCCATTGATTTGAAGCGGAATAAAATTTATTTGTCTGGACTCGGGGAATAAATCCTAATTAAGATTAGGTTGGTTGAGCTAGTTGTTAATGGTACCTGGATCAAGGTCTGGAGACACAACGTCTATACATCTTTTTTATCTCATGTTTCTTCCTTGTTATCCCTGTTATCTTTGTATATTCGTCTGTGCGTGAATACATGTGCAGTGTGCACGTCAGAGTACAGTTAGCTTCTCAGGTCAATTTTCTATCTGGACCTACATCTCCTTTATCTGCGTTTTTCCTCTTTCCATCTGTCTGTCCATCTGTCTGACTGTCTGTTACATGAGAATGAGATGGTTGCACGATCCCGGTCTTCTATCCTGTGTACGTGTTTGTTCAGTTTATCTTTCTATCTTCTTTATCTGTTCATCTGTATCTATGTATCTATGTATCTATCCGTTTATATTTATTTATCTATTCGACTATCTATCTATTTATCTATCAGTCTCTACATCGAAAGTGCAAGAGCTTTATAACTCTGATAAGGTGATAAAAAGAACCCAACCCCCCCCCCCTCTCCCCATCCACCCCACGTTATTTTTTTAACAGTTGAATTTTTAATATTTTAGTGAGACCGAGAAGGTTCAGATCTCCAAGGTTTACTCTCCGTATGGGTTCAAATACTATCTGGATGCTCCAACCAGTAGTTCAGTTAGGAGAGAGGACGATAAGGTCATTTTTTCTTCTTAAATTAAGTTTATTCTTTTCAAATCTTGGATCTAATACTTGCTTAATCAATATTGAAATAAATTAGAAAATTTTATATTTATTTATAAATTTTTTAATTTGCCATATTCGTAATTAGTGTTTGAATGACAATGATAAAAATAAGGATGGGAAAATATCATGTTTTGCCGACGTCATTAATTGTTTATTGTTTAGGTGACGTATATTAACAAAGGGCAGTTTTATGGCGTAACCCTTGAATATATACGGGATCCAGATTATCATCTCAAATCTACCACAGTCAAGTCTGTTATCATGTTAGTTTTTAGGTAAATGTTTTAAAAATCTTCATACATTTTTTATTCGCCTATTTTTTAAAATTGAATTTTCTATATTTTCTATTTTGCTCTGTGTCTTAAACATGTATGTAGTTATTTTTATAATATAGTTTAAACTATCCTGAAGTTTGTTTAAGGTTATTTTCTACCGTATTATTATTCTAGTTTACTTCCATACTTCTTTCAAACTTGCATCCTGCTTGTATTTATCCAACAAACTTTTTTATCTTTAAAATGGCGAATGAATTCGCTTCTGCTGCAATCCTATACCTCTTGAAAGAAAGTAAACAGATTACAATTATGATTTAAATTTAGATTGCAAGCTGTAAATGAAGTATGGAAGGTGTTTAGATGTATAAAATAAAAGTAATTTCTCTCTTCCTCCTTCTACTCCTAACTCTCATTCCCCCCTTCCTCTCTCTACTCCTAGCTCTCATTCCCCCCTTCCTCCCTCTACTCATAAGCTCTCATTACCCCCTTCCTTCTTCTACTTCTAGTTCTCATTCCCCCCTTCCTCCCTCTACTCATAGCTCTCATTACCCCTTCCTCTGAATAATTCATAATTTTTGTTACGCTGGTATGAACAAAGCAAATTTTTTTCTTTCTAAATTGGGATAAGTTATCTTCATTTGCTTACTCGTTTTCATTTTCTTTCTTAAAATCAAGATATATTTTCAATCTTTTATCATGCAATACTTTTAAACTTTAAACAATTATTTGATGCTTGTGTTTGTATTGTATGGAGTAGTGTTGTAAATAGTTCTCGTAAATCAGCATCAAATCTCTAACACGATTTATAAGTATACTTAAAATTATTTTAACGATGCAAACATGAAGAATTAACATGTAAAATGGGTTTATACTGCTACAAACAAATGTAAATCCTATGTATTAGGTTCGGTAACGGTTTAATATTTTAACCATTTATCCTTTATGCAAAAGTCATTTTACCTAACTTTAATCAATATTTATCAATGTTTTGGAGAAGATGTTTTTTTGTTTAAAAAAAGTAATCAAATATTTTTATGATTAGACACTGGGTCAAAAAATCTTTTCCCTCCTTTTCTTTTTACCAATTTGCATAAGATTTAACTTACAAAAGTTAGGCTTTAGGTTGAGTAATATTCAATATGACGTGCACCCCCCCCCCCCCCCCCCCACAAAAACAATTATTAAGAAGAAGGGAGGGGGGGGGGAAGTTTCTTACTGTTGCTTATTTTAGATTAGCATAAATACTAACTCTTGAATTGTTAGAAAACTGCAAAGTATTTCTGAGTTTAGCTTAAATATGCTAATTACACTGTACGCTTACAGCCGTAATAAACAATCCATATAAATTAGCCTTAAAAACGTTTAAAGGCAGGCAGGGCTACATTTTAAAATTTTGTTTATATATGCTGTAAAATTGAAATACCATTATTATCTAAATCCTAGAAGTAGAAATAAAAAAACATTAGATATAAAAATATTTGTGAATTAATGAATTTGTGCCTATTCTACGTGTATTCTACCCTTCAATTTTACACTTTTTAACCGTATTGTCGGAAGCCTAGTTGTACCCTGAAGTGAGTGTGTAGCCTAGAGACATGGTTTATCTTTTAGAAGATCTTTAGTCAGTAATATTACCATACTCTACTCTCCCTGGTCTACTGCAAATCTTATACATTTAGAGGGGGAAGGGGGGGCTGGTGGCTCCGAATGGTTTTTTTTTATGAGTGAGGGGGGGGGGTTGTTCAAGATTTTAGATAGAAGATGGTTCAATATGTGACGCAAGGTTACTAAAATGACCATGATTTCTTAACTGACCAAGGTTTCTAAGCTGATCCAAGGTTTCTAAACTGACTATGGTTTCTGAACTGACCATGACTTCTAAACTGACCAAGGTTTCTAAACTGACCATGAATTCTAAACTGACCAAGGTTTCTAAACTGACCAAGATTTCTAAACTGACCATGGTTTCTAAACTGACCAAGGTTTGTAAACTGACCAAGGTTTGTAAACTGACCAAGGTTTCTAAACTGACCAAGGTTTCTAAACTGACCCAAGGTTTCTAAACTGACCAAGGTTTCTAAACTGAACATGGTTTCTAAACTGACCATGGTTTCTAAACTGACCATGATTTCTAAACTGACCAAGGTTTCTAAACTGGCCATGATTTCTAAACTGACCAAGGTTTCTAAACTGACCCAAGGTTTCTAAACTGACCAAGGTTTCTAAACTGACCAAGGTTTCTAAACTGACCACGGTTTCTAAACTGACCACGGTTTCTAAACTGACCACGGTTTCTAAACTGACCAAGGTTTCTAAACTGACCAAGGGTTCTAAACTGACCAAGGTTTCTAAAGCTAACTCAATCAGAAATGATTACGCTAAAGGTTATAAATACAGAGTAAAGTGCTCTCAGGTCTAAATTCTACCTTCTCTCCAGAATATTAACTAACGTATATTTATATATATAATATAGCTTACATGCACCCATACAAACAAACATTTAACGGAATGGGTTGGGGGATGGGAGGGGGACCCCTATTCTAATTTGAACAAAAAACTTTCTGGAATTTAAATTATGCAATTTACAACCATTGTATATGAAATTATTTAAATAAAAAAACTGCATTTCAATTCTCATCTGTATGTTCAGTTTTTATCGCTATGCATTTACAGTTTATTCGTCAAATCATTTGTTTATTTATCAATTCATATATATTTCTATATCTTTTAAAATCTGTTTAATTTGATATATCATATTTTAATGAGGATAAATCTCAATATATTGTATAGTTAGGGAGGGTAAATCTCAATATATTGTATATTTAGGGAGAATAAATCTCGATATATTGTATATTTAGGGAGGGTAAATCTCAATATATTGTATATTTAGTTAGGGTGTATCTTAATATATTGTATATTTAGGGAGGGTGTATCTCAATATATTGTATGTTTAGGGAGGGTAAATCTCAATATATTGCATATTATGGGAGAATAAATCTCAATATATTTTGTTTATTAAGGGAGAATAAATCTCAATATATTGTATATTTAGTTAGGGTGTATCTTAATATATTGTATATTTAGGGAGGGTGTATCTCAATATATTGTATATTTAGGGAGAATAAATCTCAATATATTGTATATTTAGGGAGGGTGTATTTCACTATATTGTATGTTTAGGAGGGCGAATCTCAATATATTGTATGTTCAGGGAGGGTAAATCTCAAGAAGATGAGATAAAAGCCTGGCAGTTCTGGCATCAAAGACAGCATTCGGTAAGCAACCTCTTAGTTTTAGTCATACCATTATCTTTTTTTTCTAGTTATTTTGGATAAAGAAGCGATAAAAATATTATTTAAAAATCAAAAAACTACATTTTTGGGTCTCATGAGATTAAACTAAACTGTTGAGCTTTATTTGTCGATAATTTGGTTAAACAACTCAGATAATTAAAATCTTGAGTGTATAGATGAATTATGAAAGTGCAGAATGGTTTTAAATCCTGGTGACATCTCTCTCCATGTCACCATTCTTACATCCTTCTTAGATTTAATGGAAGATAAAGATTAAAATTTAGAAAGTTTACCCTCCCCCCCCTCACTCTTACTCTAATTAATAGTAGTAGGTGTTTAGATACTTAAGCGAGGGGAAGATGGAGTTTAGGTACTCTAGGTAGGTGGAGGAGTACATGGTGTCCAGGTACTCTAGGTAGGTAGAGGAGTACACGGTGTGCAGGTATTTAGGTAGCTGGAGGAGAACATGGTGTCCAGGCAATCAAGGAAGGTGAAGGAGTACATGGTGTCCACAGTCCAGGTACTCTTAGTAGGTGAAGGAGTACATGGTGTTCAGGTAATCAAGGAAGGTGAAGGAGAACATGGTGTCCACTGTCCAGGTACTCGTAAGTAGGTAGAGGAGTACATGGTATTCAGGAACTCAAGGAAGGTAAAACAGCCATGGTGTCCACTGTCCGCGGAGGAGTACATGGTCTTTAGGTACTCAAGAAAGGTGAAGGAGTACATGGTGTCCATGTATTCTAAGTATGTGAAGAAGTACATGGTCTTTAGGTACTCAAGGAAGGTGAAGGAGTACATGGTGTCCACTGCTTAGGTACTCTATGTAGGTGAAGGAGTTCATGGTGTTCAGGTACTCAAGGAAGGTGAAGGAGTACATGATGTCCAGGTATTCTAGGTTGGTGGAGGAGTACTGTAGGTAGGTGTAAGATTAGAGAATATCCAATTATGCATATTTTTGAACACCCTGTATTTATTTTACTGTTATCAAGGTGTACTAGCATGAAATGTCAATCCAAGGGTGGATTCTAATTGAAATGAGGTGGGACAGAGTAAGATTAAATTGGTCTAAAACAGCAAAAAGGTCCAGCCTGGTCAGAATTCACTTTTCAAACTTTGAACTTTTTCCTTTCCACCCTAGAGAGTACTTTGTAGTTTGTACTGACATAAAACAGCTGCTTTTTAACATCGAGAAAAAATCTTTTCTTGTCATCTTCAGCTTTAAGATTATTGCTTTCAAATAATAGATAGGATTTAATTGTCAACATCATTAATGATTTAATGAGTCGTTAATTGGAATTAAGATTAAGATCATATTAATGCATTGTATTATTTTTCTAGCATATCTAGAAGGAACCTCAGTTTTCAATTGTATTCTTAATCACAAATCATTATCTTACATTGTATTAATTTTCTAGCATATCTAGAAGGAACCTCAGTTTTGAATTGTATTCTTAATCACAAATCATTGTCTTACATTTTTGAGAACTTTTATCTTGTTTTAATATAGATAGGTTGATCTTTATATTCTTATATTAGATACAATTCTTATCTTCGTCATTAATTATGTTACTGTCCAGTATCCACTCCTACCTACTACCTAGTCTCTACTGTCCAGTATCCACTCCTACCTACTACCTAGTCTCTACTGTCCAGTATCCACTCCTACCTACTACCTAGTCTCTACTGTACAGTATCTCCTTATTACCACTTGCCGCCATTTCACCCCTGTTCACATTTTCTTCCGTTTTCAACCCCTTTCCCCATTATTCTCTTCTTATTTAGTACAGGTCTGAATCATTCTGTTTTTCTTCTCTATCGTTCTGATTTTACCTTTCTCCTGCTGTCTCTTTTTCTCCTCTTTCTCCTATTTCCTCTCTTCTTCTTCATTACACTATTGCAATTAATCTTTTAACCCCAGATTTGTTGCCTGCCCAACTATAATATCAGATTTTATTATGTTCTTGCATGTGTGATGTATCGGCAATAATTGCATATAAAAAAGATATGCAATAATGTGCGAACCAACGCTGCTGCACTACGTATATTAGCTTTAGTACCCATTAATCAAGATTGCTTGGTCAAAATCAATGAATTTTAAATTAACTTTCACGTTTAGTTAACTGGGTCTAGAAAAAACATTTACCTCTTCAATATAAAGTATACCTGAAACTATTCTTTGCTCAACACTTTTAATTAGAACTAAATTATTTATATACATATATGTTTATGGTTGACTCCACAGTGGAATGGAGTTAATTAATTAAAAGAATTAACCGAAACCTTTTTATCATGATCATAAAGTATTTGCCCCCTCCCCTCGTCCTACACAACTTTTCCTGGCTCTACTAAATATTTAGAGCGGATGCAGTTTAAATGAATGCAAAATGTAGATAAACGGATAAAGACGGAAAAAATACAGGAATGCAAGATTTTCTGCCCACCTAACATTTGCAATCTTGGACATACTTTTAATGAGGTCCTTAATTTATATATAGGATATACAGTATACACAGACAAGGAATATATACCAGGAACACTCTAAATCAAAAGTACGTAACAGGTGTACACTCATGTCACTACTAACATTTACCCCCTAAAAATCGGTTTTGATCTGCAGTACACAGAATGACGCATCGGATTTGATAGTTCCTGCAGTGTATTTTCCTTGTATACAGTACACTGTAGGAAGGTAAATAAACACCGTCTTTTTGAGCACTAACAGTACGGTACATTCGGTACGGAGGCATTTTTATACTATAGATAATATATTTCTATAATTTAATTGTTTTAGGTGAAACAGAGAATTATTGATGTTGATACAAAAAACAGTCATGGTGAGTTAAAACAAATTTCAAATTGTCACTTTTCTACCAAGCAAACGTTGAAAATTTGACATAATAATTATTTTATTATTTCTGATTTGATTTTGTTGTAGCTCTAGTCGGACCTATTGAAGAGCTTTCACACAACGCCATAGCGGTTTACTGGAACCCATTGGAGTCATTTGCTAAAGTCAATCTAGCTGTTCAGTGCTTATCCACAGATTTCAGGTAAACATTAATTCATTCATTCATTCATCCATTCATCCTTTTATCCATCCTCACATCCTCTCATCCATCATTTCATCTTCTAGATCCTTCGATTAATAAAACACATGGATACCTTGTTTTCATCTTGTTTATTCATATATTCATGCACGCAACAACTCAATTAGAATTCAACATCTGCACATTATATAGTTTCTATATTCAGATGTTTATTCTCTAATCATTATGGGTTTAAAGAGAGAGTTAAAGATTATTTGAAGGTAGTTTTAAAAAGTAAATAGAACCGTGTTTTGATAATAAATCGGAATCGATTGTTGTTATTATTATTTAAATTCGATGTTTCTGTTTCGAGAATTTTATAGAAGCAAATAAAAATCTTTCTTTCGAAATGAATATATGTTAAACGAATATAAATCTTCTATTAGTTACTGATTGATTGATTATTTAGTACGCAGAAAGGAGTAAAGGGATTACCACTACACATACAAATAGATACATACGAGGATCCTAGGCAGGAGGTTGGATCCCCTGCTATACACAGGGGATATAGTCAGGTAAATAAACTAAACCAGGTTTAGCTAACATAAAATAAGTTTCCAACCCTCTTCTTAAGTTCCAGCCTGAGTGCAATAATGTAAAAATATTGGAAACCAACTTATTGTGTGTGAGTACAGATTTATAGTGTTGGAAGAGAAATTTTATTAAAACAGATGTTTAATATTAAAGTCAGGAGTAGAATAAAAACGAGGCGAATATGCGCTCAACCATTATCAGAGGAGTTAAGAGACATGACAGGAGGTTTAAGTTTGAATTTAAGTTTATATAATGGTTTAAACCTAGATTGAATGTAGATAGGTTAAGTTCTGTTTAGTATAAACTAATGGTTAGGGCCCACAGATACAATCTTAACTGCCAAATATATTTTGCGGATAATTAATCCTAGATTTTTCAACCATTTAGATTTTGGGGATATTTTAACCAATACGTGATGCATTGATCATGAAATTTCAGGGTTAGAGTAGTATCTTTAGTGTTAGGGAGTACACTGCGTTGTTAAGAGTACAAACTTTAGTGGTAGAAAGTACACTGCGTAGTTTAGAGTACAATCTTTAGTGGTAGAAGTACACTCCTGGGTTTGGTTTAGAATACAATACTTAGTGGAAGGGAGTACACTTCTGGTTTAGAGTACGGTCATTGGTGTGAGGGAGTACACTCCTACTGCTGGGTTTAGAGTACACGTTCCTTAGTCTTAGGGAGTGTACTTATGTTATAAATTTCATTCCTTAGTGTCAGGGAGTACACTTCTGGTCTAGAGTACACGTTCCTTGGTGTCAGGGAGTACACTTCTGGTCTAGAGTACACGTTCCTTAGTGTCAGGTAGCACACTCCTGGTTTAAAGTACACATTACTTAGGGGAGTATGCTTATGTTATAAAATTCCCTCCTTAGTGTCAGGGAGTGCACCTCTGGTTTAGAGTACAATCCTTAGTTTGAAGGGAGTACATTCCTGGCTTAGAGTACAATCCTTAGTGTGAGTACACTCATGTTATGAAGTACATTTCTAAGTGTCAGGGAATACACTGTTATAAAGTCTTTCAGAGTTATTGGTTTATTTTTAATCTAATAATAAGTTGTTCCGATTCCTTTAGATGAATATTAAATGATTCTTGTTCGGTTTAAAGAAGATTATTTCAATAAATCGTTTTGTATTTTATTCCTGGACTTAAATTACGAGTTTGAATCCAATGTGCCAAGGTTTAAAAGTGTGGATTGAATAGAGATTATCTAAACCAAATTACTATCTTTTGGGATTTAAAATCTTGAAATTCATTCGAGGTTGAAAACGTTTATGTAAGTGCATAGTGCACTTCGCAACCTTTTATTATATATATATGAGATATACTTCCTTATTGTATTTGCACCTCTATAATCTATTTCTATCTTAGTTCATTATTTGAATGGTGCCCGATGACTAAACTAAACAAAAAATGTTTTTAGGTTAAAATTTTCTGTGACAAGGGAGCTGAACGGAAACTCCGAGACGAGGAGCGACGAGCAGCGAAGCGACGAATGACGCCGAGCGGTAAACGGCGCCTCGACGAAATGTACCACGAAACTTTCGAAAGGTATTGGCTTGCTTTCATACACCACGCGTTTCTTTTTTTGTAGTAATTTTAGCGTTTAACAGGTGCTTTAAAGGACTATGCAGTGAACACAAATTTAGGCAAATTTTTGTTTAAATTTTTCCAACTAATTTTTTTTTAATTTCAACCGTTTAAACCTTAAATTGGATACAAACAGACAGACAAGCAAATCACTTATAAAGATAAATATAGGGTTAACCAATAACCAATAAGCACATTATATCGGGCTGGGTCTTGCTGGAATTTTCTTTCTTTACTTTTATTGGCTAAAGATTCTGTTAATAAATAAACTAAACTTTAGTGACTTGATCTTTATATTTCTACATTATATTATTATAGTATATTTCTACAAGAAAATATAATATTTATGTAGTTCTTCTTAGTTTTTATCTTAAATTCATCTTGTAGGTCACCTCTCTTAGTTGCCCTAATCAAATCAAATAAAGCTTTTTTCTTTAAAAAAATAATGGTATAATCCTTCAATTTTTCCATCTTCATCTGTCTTCCTCAGTCTTCCTCAATCCTCTCTCGATCCATTCCCCTTGATCTATCTCCCAACCTATCTCCGTATCTCACTTCTCATCCACGATAACAATTTTAATCTAATGGTTCTCTGATGCTGGCACCTTGTTCAGTCATGAATATACATCACATTATCCCTCCCCCCTTCTTCCTACAAATCTGTTCCTCTGCATAGATTATGTGACAATTTCTATCTTAAACTTCACATTTTTTTTTTATTGAACAATGTTCTTTAACTTGATTTGTTTATATTATCTTTTATCCTACTTTTCATTGTACTTGATGATTTTCTCAATTTCTACCCGAATTATATTTTACTTTTTTTTTATTAAATATACCTTTTTCCATATAGTGTCTTTTTTTTCCTCATAAGATTTAAGATAAATCTTTAAATTCTACGGANTTTCTGTGTAGATTATGGTATCCGTGGATATTTGCGTGTTTAAAGTCTGTAATAAATATATAGCCTAGAGGGATATATGACTCAAACTTAAGATATATAGTGACCAGCACAATATACACATACATACTCTTAGCACATTCAATATACACATACAAACACCCCTAAAACATTCAGTATCCAAATACACACCCCTAGCACATTCAATATACACAGACCCAGTACCCGCTCGTAGCACATTCAATATACACATACATACCACTAGCACATTCAGTATACCCACACATACCCCTAACATTCACTATGCACATACCCTTAACACATTATAAGTGAATTCTATTTCTAGAAAACTATCTAGATAAACTCTCTCAATACTTTTGTTTCGAATTTTAATTTTCCAATATTTAGGATCCAGATAAAAGTTCTCAGATGTGCCAGGATTTTCCTTCCTTCTATACAAGATCCTTGGAACCTGGTAAACCAGTGATCAACGGAGATATTCTTCCAAGCATACATTTACCAGGTTTAGATATTAAATATATATAATTCATATCATCAGAATCTCTACGCAGCCTATCTCACTTTGGAATCATCAAACTTTTATATTCGGCATACTTAGCTTATTCGTTCTACTTTATAAAAATGTTGCTAACTGGACACTTTATATATATAATTGTCAATTTTTTACATACTGAAGAACTCGCAATTTGCTTATTAATGTTTTAAAAATTCACATCTTAATTACCTAATACCAATTCCAGTTCGTATAGTTTATTTTATTTTACTAACTTAAAAAAAGAAAATTTAAAAAACATTTCTTTACATACTTACCCATCAGCCATGCTACTTATCTATAAATGACCTGAACTGGGAACTTTTGAATGGTGGATATTGGGATTAATGCTTGATCCACTCTTTTTCTTACTCTCGAGATTAAATAATGCTTGTTCTCCTCTTGTCATTAATCTCCAGATTATTTAACCGATCGGGATTAAGGATATCCCATTCTAAAGTTTTCAGCTCTGACTAATCAAGGAAAAATTAGTTTTTTTTTTATTAAATCCCTGCGTGTGACCTAGCTAACCTAGCAGCCCTTTCATGGAAAATATTGCGAGTAATGTTTGCGGCGCCTAGTATCTAATATTTGAGTAGGCTGCTAGGTTAGCTCCCCATGTCTAGAGTTAATGCAACGTCATGTATACGTGTTCTAGTCTCTATAGACTCTACTCACATATTCTCTTTTTACACCCGAGCTAATCCAACTCTAGCTGCAGTGCGACTTTACAGACAGACTTTAACGCCCTATAAGACAACATCGTAAATTTGAGAAATCTTATTAGCTGTTTTACATACCCTCCAACCATTTTAAATTCAAAACCATCACTTGAAATTCTACGTGGCTTCAATTCAAGGAATGATTAACATATCATTGCATGCTTATTGCTTATAACATTACATTATTTTGTGTATAAATCATACAATCCACTAGTATAGGATTCGTAGATTTATGTTGAACTATGTTTCTGGCAAACTGCTGAGTTTTTAACCCTGATATTAGTTTGGAAAATTAGCCCAGATTGTATAATGAGATAAATGTACAACCCTTGAATGATTATAATTTTAGTTTGTAGTCCGGAACCTGTTCCCCTGCCTGAAAAGACTGTTCTAGTTTGCAACCCATTTTCTGAAAGTTAGTTTTTACCTTATTCAATGCTCTTCTGTTCTTGTTTCCTCGTTCTATTGCTTTGAGAAAATCCTTGGGTTTCCTTTTCTTCCTTTATTTTTAATCTTCTCCTTATCACACAACTCTTCTGTTACTTTTTCACTCATTAACCTAGAATATATTTACACGTCCTAAAAAATGTATAGTTAGAACCTGAACGAACTGTAATGAATATATACTTGGAACCTAAACGAACTCACGAACTCTAATAAATATTTATTTAGAACCTAAACGAACTCTAATAAACATATATTTAGAACCTAAACGAACTCTAATAAATATATGTTTAGAACCTAAACGAACTCTAATGAATGTATATTTAGAACCTAAACGAACTCTAATGAATGTATATTTAGAACCTAAACGAGCTCTAATGAATGTATATTTAGAACCTAAACCAACTCTAATGAATGTATATTTAGAACCTAAACGAACTCTAATGAATTTAATTTAGAACCTAAACGAGCTCGACTGATCCCGCCATCTAATGAACGAATAATGATATATGTAAGACAGGTGAGGTTGAATAAAAACGGATTCTGAAATTTTATCAAACAATCTAATCGTCAAATTTACAATAAGACAAACATATATAATTAAAAGTATTTAGTATCTAATTGACAGAGCTGTTCTAACTATCAAAATAGTGAGTAAAATATATTTCATGATTTAAGATGTGTGTTTTATGTAATGTATGAATGGCTCTTCTACTTTTTAAAGAATGAATTAATGGATTGTTGATTTATTTAATGAATTAATGGATTGTTGATTTATTTAATAAATTAATTGATTGTTTATTCATTTAAAGGGAGTGTTCGCGAAAAATGAAAGGGGGTATAGGCTTAATGCGATAAAAAAGCGTTTTTGATCGCCACTAATCTTACTTCTATCTGTTGCGTCTATAAGGAGAAAATTGTTAAATTGTTAATTGCAACATACGACTTAGACCGTAAAAAAATCAATTTAATTTCAAACAAATCATTCAGATATTACAACCTATAGTCATCGATTATCTTTCGCTACATTTATATATAGTTGATTTTTCATAATATGTTTTAATTTTTATGATCTGAGAGTTACTTATAAAAACGTTTATTCCTGTTTCGAGGATTTTTGGTAATGAAGACGACATTTTCATATTTTCCAGGAATGTTCGAAAACAAGCTGTAAGCTAAATATTATTTTAAAAAACAAAATCAAAACTAGCATTAAGCCTATACCCCCTTTCATTTTTCGCGAACACTCCCTTTAATAAATTAATGGATTGTTGAAAGGGACTGTCGTCTTAATTTCACATGACCTTCAGTTTAAAGAAGGGTATGCCCGCTTTACCTTTAAACTTTCATCTTGGATTTATATTTTAAAGATATTAACGTGGACATTTCATTCATTATATCGAGCAAATGTGAATCTGACATGTTGCTCCATGATTAGAAGGTGCTTTTAGATTATATAAACAGTCCTTTTAATTTATGTTGAACTGGTTTTTTTGCACGCTTACAGTATGGAATGTTTAATGAAAAATGAATGATGAAATGTGTAAGGTATGGTGAATTATTTAATAAATAATAAATTGTAAATAGTTTCATAAATAATAATGGATAAATAATGAATGATGAATGATAATAAATGATGTATTATGAATGATGTACAATGAATGATGTATAATTTATGAGAACTAATAAAGATTGAATAATGAATATATCTATATATATCCAGGAAACTGAAGATGTATATACTCCTCTCCATCTTGTCCCTCCTACAGTAGCAGGCCTAATCCAGGCTATAGAGAACAAGTACAAGATCAATGCCACCAATATCCGGTATATATACAGGAAGAACAGGGATGGGATTGTTGCAAAGATTGACGACGACATGCTCCGGCATTATTGCAATGAAGATGTTTTCTTGATGCAGGTTAGTTTTAGTTATTCTTTTTTCTTCCTAATTCTTTATCCTTCTTCTTCCATTCTAGTTTATTTTTTCAGTTCCCCCTTTTGTAGGAGCTCTTTTTTCTAAAATTCAATATTCTTTGAAAATATTTTCTACTTCCCATATACTCCCCCCCCGTCCCCCTGTGCATTAATCCTCCTTTTCTCTCTGTTTTCTATAGTGGCGAACTACCCCCCCCCCCCCGTCCCCCCTGTGCTTTAATCCTCCTATTCTCTCTGTTTTCTATAGTGGCGAACTACTCCCCCCCCCCCTTGTGCTTTAATCCTCCTATTATCTCTGTTTTCTGCAGTGGAGAACGTGTTTAAACACTATATCCAATATAATTGGTTTACGCCCACTTTATCTAGCTAGATATATATATATTATATATTTACCCTTCCAGAGAATTTGTGCAGGGATTAGCTAGATCTTAAAGAACTTTCCAGTAAGGGGGGGGGGGTTGCTCAGCCCACATACCCCCCCCCCTTTATATACGACCCTGCACGCTACACTGTTACTTTTTTCTACATTATTCTTCTAATCTATCATCTTATTAACAAATCTAATTGCTATTTCTAAATATCTTTATATTTCATTATGCAATCTTCAGGTTTTTAGATGATTTGGATTCCATTTTAGCAACCAAAAATTGGAGGGGGGGGGGGAGAGGTATACAATGATAGATGAAATTCTTTTTAATTTTCCCATTTTCCATTAAACGGTTAACTGTTAAAAATGAAGACTTTGCATTAATATAAAATATAATATATATATATATATATAAAATTAATTACCAACACCTTCTCTAAGTGTAAGGGATATTTAGCATATCTTATTCTTATCAGACCAACAAAAACCAGGCTTAGCCTAGCTCTTGTAAGTAAATTAAATCTTCAACTGACAACCTTAAACCTTTATTAACAGTTCAGCTTGGCACAGTTCAATAAAGAAATATATTAATTTTATTTATTAATCAAATTTAATCAAACACAAGTTTCATAGTTTATAGAGCATGCTCAAGGTTTTTGTTGTGGATCCGTTGAACCAGCTTTAAATATATATTTTGTTATCTAAGTTACATTAATATACAATATACATATGTATATAGGATATATATATATATATATTTGAAGGTAGAATGGTATAGATATAATAAATTTTAATGTTGCAACACTGGTTCTTTATTAGCTTGTGTAATATTTCACGGACGAAATAAACTTACATTGAGTTGATTTATTTGGGTAAATGATGAAGGGGTATTGTTCAGCATACCCAAGGGTGGGATGCAGAATACAGAATATATGTATATTGATATATAGAGGGTGCAGAATACAGAATATATGTATATTGATATATGTATATTGAAGGTATAGAATACTTAACTTTCATAATATAATCAAATACTATTCTTTTCCCCTCAGAAAGTGTTTTTTCTTAAATTAAATCCTTTTTACATATTAAGGGTCTGTCCTAGTGAACGATTTTTGGACCCCCCCTCATATCAATTTTGTACATGACCATTTATTTTTCAGCAAATTTATTATTATTTATTTTTTTGTTATTTAGGGACAATTTAGTTTTTGACACAATCTCAAACTTTATGTGTCAAAACCTACATTTCTTTGTTAATCTCTTCATTATTTTAAATATGTAAACAGTCCCTTAGAAATGTTTATATTCAGGTTATGGTTACTGAGGGTCCAGGAGGTGAGGATAGTATGGTTTATGATATAACACTCTCAGAAATACAAGGAGCTATGGAGCACTGATCCGACCAACAGTACATTCGTAGTACAGTCGACAGTACATGACCTTGTACATTGTCATTACATAAACTTGTACTTTGCCCGTACGTAAACTTTTACAACTTGAAAAGTACATTTGTTGGTTAGATACCATATCATAATATGAAACCTTCTTGAATCTGCTTATGCTACATCTAGAAGCTAACTAAATCTTAAAAACAAAAATATTGCAAAAATATTGCAAAAATATTGCAAAAATATTGGCTCCAATCGTTCACATATACTTAAGTAACTTGTGTTGTACTGACGACCTTATAGATACAGTTTATGAACTGTACATAGTTTGAAATGTTTACATGTATCATCAGTGAATATTGTATCCATGTACGAATAATTATTTTCGTGCATTGGACTGGAATATTTTTACATATTTGTAATGAATTGATTAATTGCTGAATTATGTGCCATACTTTTAAAACTGTAGTAAACATTACTACACCCACATTTATACATGTATATATATATATACATATATATATATTTTTTTTTATATATTTTATATTTCTGATTAAGTACAACTCTGTATTTATCTATTGTTAGGCCAACTCAGCTTCCATATCCTCAATAATTGATCAAAGTTTCTTCGTATGGCCTAATAATAGTCGTCAGCTGTTAATAATCAAAAATAAATTTAATGTCAGCTAGAATATAAGAAACTTTTTAGATAAAGGAAACAAATTTAAATTTATTTTTCATATGTAATGCTCAATTTTTTGTTATGCAATTTTATTCTCTCCTAGCATTCGTGCTCTTAAAGGGGAATGACAACAAAACTTGGGATCTTCCAACAATCTGCTTAATTATTTGATAAATTTGTCCCTTTAACACTAGAATTGAGTTATAAATTAGAGGGAATAATGTTAAATTTATACATTTCTAAATTTTGAAATTGATTTTTTGTATAAAAAATATTTATTAAACTATGCCCTGATATTGTAAATACAGTGCCTTAAAATCAAAAAGCTAGAATACTCTGTGACGATGTGTGTTAAGGGCTGTGAAGAACTATTGTGCCACATGTATAAGAGCTTGTTGTAGTTTCGGTTTAAACTCCACTAATGGCGGAGAATACATTTAGCATTTAGTAGTTTATACTGTTAAACCTGCGAATAAATATGTAATACTCAAACCTTCTTAGAATTTTATTTTGTTTGATTATTTTTCTCTTAGCATTTCAGAAGAATTAAAATGTAAATGTCGCGAAAGAAGAATTAAAATGTAAATGTCGCGAAAGAAGAATTAAAATGTAAATGTCGCGAAAGAAGAATTAAAATGTAAATGTCGCGAAAGAAGAAAAAAGTTCTTGTTTTTTTCTTTGGTATTTTAGCTGTAGGCGCTATATCAATTCCTACCCTGAAATACCAAGGCTATAAACTTGTAACAACAGTTCAGCAACAACAACGACATCATCAACATTATCAACAACGCTGTCATCAACATCAACAGCATCAGCCATGGCATCAGCATTCTTAAGAGCAGCGCCAGCATCAATCTCACAATCTGATCAGATACTTTAATTTCGTCAATTTTTTATGAGTGTTCCAATTCATCTACAGTTGAAAAAAATTCGGGTTCTTGAAGTATTCTGTACATATACATACAACACTGTTATTTTGGTTCGCAGTTTTATAAACTTTATTGACAGAAATTTTCTCTTTATCGTGACGGTTCAAGCCTTTATAGATTTAATTACGTGCAGATCTTTAACGAAAGACAAACAATTTTTTGGAGAAAAACCCGGAACCAATCAAAACTTTTTAGCACACGTACTATAATGTACAGCTAATTTAATTTTATAACACGATGATTACTTTATAGCACGTTTTTTTTATGAAATTTACGATGAAGTGAATAAGAATGATAAAGTACACAATAGTTTCATAAATAGTTAAATATTGATGTGCCTTCAGTTGGTTATTTTTTGGGTCGTTTTTACCCTAAATTTGAGAACAACAAATGTTTTCAAATTTTGACTCTGACGAAAGATATAAGCAAAAGAAGAACGTGTTGTGACGATAGTTTTTGGGATAGTATCCAAGACTAGTTTCTTTTACCTATTCAAAGCTTATAGTTCTTTACATATTCAAAACTTATATTTTTTACCTATCCAATACTAGTTTTTTACCTATTCAAAACTTATAGTTTTCCTATCCAAAACTAGTTTTTTTTACCTATCAAAACTTATAGTTTTCCTATCCAAAACTAGTTTTTTTTACCTATCAAAACTTACATTTTTTACCTATCCAAAACTAATTTTTAACTATTCAAAACTTACAGTTTTTTCCTATCCAAAACTAGTTGTTCTACCCATTCAAAACATATACTTTTTTATCTATCTGTAACCAGTTTTTTTTACCTATTCCAAACTTAATAGTTTTTTTCCTATCCAAAACTAGTTTTTTTACCTATTTAAAACTTGTGTTTTTTTACCTATCCAAAACGATGAAAAGCACGATATATTTAGTGTTAACGCTGTTGGATATAATCCAAAATGACTCGAAATACTCGTAACATGCACAACCATGTCTTTCTGTTTTTAGGACGTTACAGCTTTAGTTCATTGAGTTCATTGTTTTCTCATTGAAGAATGTTGTAAATGTCGTCTTCAAGATTAAGCGTGGTTTATATTATGTTTGTTAAAGGTAACGAAAAGAATATTAGATTAAATCAAAGTAGTCGAAGGGTATGCACTAAGAAGACTAATTTAAAATATAGTTTAGGTGTAAATTGTCATTGCTATGGGCTTATTCAGGCATATAGTAAGACCCATTAAATTGTCTAATGAACATAACGGAGAAGTTGAGCAGCGTACAGTGTACACCGTACGCTGTACAGTGTACACTGTACTTTGTAAATACTACGTCTACACAAACCTATTTCAATTTTCAAGTTTCGACATTTAAGCTACATTTTTTCTGTATAACAACATCATATACAAATAATTTTATTGCTTAAATGTTATCTTTCTATTCCACAGTTTTATGGGTTCCACTGTAACCGGACTCTTACTCAACTTACTGTCACCTTTAACTCTATGAGAAATATTATATTTTGCAATGTTTTATCTTTAATAAAGACATAAATTATTTTATTACGGCATTGTTTAAGATCTTAATCATCTTAAGCTGCGTCACAAACTAGCTATTGGACTTTTATTTGTCAATAATAAAGGCAGGGCGAGATATAAAACATAGAAATAATTATTTTTATCAGTAAATATTCCATTGTGGTAGAGAGTTTTTCAACTGCTTCCAAAAAACGTAATGGTTCTCAGAGAAAGTATATTTCGATATTTTAAATATCCTCCCAATTCCAATCAAAAACAATCATATTATTTTTTAACAAAAAGATGAGGAAAAAATACATTTAATAACAAATGTTTTAAAAAAACAAAACAAAAAAGGGTGGAGAAAGAGTTTTTGAATAAAAGTTAATATGGTCAACCTTGAGGCGTAGTGTATTAGTTGGAACTGAATAAAATGTACGAATACAAGAATCTAGAAGGGGGGGGGGGAAGGGAACGAGTTGACCGATAGTACTATATAGGGGAGCAAGTAAATATAAAATATCTAAAATAAACTATAGTTAATATAGAAACTCCGCTTTGATGACAGTGTTGAGAGTAATTTTGTTTTTCTTGAAACATACGAATTGAGATCGTGTCTTAATTGAGACATTGATCAATTGATTGAATTTGTCTGGTTGACATAGCTAACGAGATCGTGTCCAGTGGTAGTGGCCTTGATAGTTCACTGGATTGTAGCCGTGTGGATGTGTCCTGTTTGAGACATTGATCAATTTGATTGCTATTGTCTGGTTGACATAGCTAGCTAACGAGATCGTGCCCAGTGGTAGCGGCCTTGATATAAGTTCACTGGATTGTAGCCGTGTGGATGTGTCCAGTGGCCGAATTTAAAGAATTTAAGCGGCGGTTTAAATTTAAGCCGCGGTTTAAATATGATTGGTTCCACTTAAAATTGTATCAAATGTTTTAAGATTTAAGCTGGCGCTTAATTTAAACCGGGTTTTGGCGGATTTAAACTGCGTCACAAATTCTTTAAATTCCATCTCTGTTTGAGACATTGATCAATTGATTGCTGCTATTGTCTGGTTAACATAGCTAACGAGATCGTGCCCAGTGGTAGTGGCGTATATAGTTCACTAGATTGTAGCCGTGTGGATGTGTCCTGTTGGAGACATTGATCAATTGATTGCTATTGTCTGGTTGACCTAGCTAACGAGATCGTGACCAGTGGTAGTGGCCTTGATAGTTCACTGGATTGTAGCTGCACATGTGGATGTGTCCTGTTTGAGACATTGATCAATTTATTTATTTATTTTGTAAACGTACACAATTTAAATAATTGGTACAATTAAACAGAAGAAAAAAGAACTATAAGAGTATATATCAAAAATGAATACAAATACAAGAAACAAAATCATACTGTAATTAGGTCGTGCATGTAAAATTAATAATTGATTGGTATTGTCTGGTTGACATAGCCAATGAGATGGCACCCAGTGGTAGTGGCGTATATAGTTCATGGGATTGTAGCTGTTTGGATTGTGTCCTGTTTGAGACATTGATCAATTAATTGCTAATGTTTGTATTGACACCGATAGTGTAAAAGCCCTATTTTTTTGTCCTCTTCCTGAAGTAAAAAGCTCTGGTACTCTTTCCTCTCTTTTAATAGGCCTGTATGTGACAATTCTGGTTAACTAAGAAGGGTAATCCTACTCTGCAAACCTGTAATCTATACTGTTCAGCAAGCTGACTAACTGTTTTGTCATCCTACTTTCAGAGCTTGCGGGTTGATCTGGTTAGACTGGTCCAATGTGCCTTTCTCTGGGTGTACTGATGTGACCTTCAGATTGGCCTTGCTTGTACGGTCAACCTTTATGACCTTCACCTTGGACAAAGCTAATACTTGCTTGTAAAGTAAGCCAGGTATTTTGTCTCAGGGTACGTCTGGACCCCTAGCTGCCATCGGGGACTGGTCAGTTAGGTTTACTGGCCCTGTTGGCAGCTCCCTTGTTAAACCCTCTTCTGAATGATAGACCAAGAAGTAGGTTGTAGGTAGGACCTGAGTGGATTTAAGTGTAAATTATTGGTAAAAAGAGGTTTTCTAAATGAGAAAGCTAGATTTAGATGTGTGAGAAATCTACGTTGAAGAAACTTAATGTTTCTTATACTTTTTCTAGAAGAGAAAGCACGATTTGAAAGAGTGAAATTGTCAATGTTGAGAAACTAGATGTTTCTTATACTTTCTCTAAAAGAGAAAGCACAATTAGGAGTGTTATGACATCTATGTTGAGAAACTAGACGCTTCTTATACTTTAACTAGAAGAGAAAGCACAATTAGGAGTGTTATGACATCTATGTTGAGAAACTAGACGCTTCTTATACTTTAACTAGAAGAGAACGCACAGTTCTGATGTATTAGGACATCAACATTGAGAAACTAGACGTTCCTCATACCCTCATACAGGGGAGCTGCCATGGTAGAAAAGAAATGATGCTCCAGACCTTCAAAAAGTCACTCAAAAGGTTGGAAAGCATTGTTTATACTAGAAAAATATAATTGGCTGTATTTGTCTATACCAAAATGAATAATGGACGCCACGATGAAAATGAAGCTTGCGTACATGATACTGCACATCATGTGTACTCTCAGTATTTATTAATTGTTGATGGAAGACAACAACCTAGGCTGCTTTTTCAAATTTGTTAACAACGTTCAAAGTATCTAATAATGATATTGCATGCCAGTGGTAGTGGCGTTGATAGTTCACAGGATTGTAGCACTGTGAATCGTGTCCTGTTTGATATGCATAGAGGACAGATTGTACCTGGACTGATACAGTTCTGGATGAAGTTTTAAGAGTACTGCATTAACTACAACCCTATTTTTACTAATTATAAAAGTAAAAATTTAAGCTATAAACAATTTCATGTTAAGAGAACACACTGTGGATTTGTGATATTTAGTTTAAGTTCCCCTTTTAACAAAGGCACTTTTTGGACGTTGGAAAAAAAAAACTAATGCAATTTTCTGTTTCAACCAATCATGATGTATTTTTTACTCATCTGAAAGCAATCGAAAATTTGATAAATGTTGAGTTTCCAGGTGTTTCATGGCAAAGCACTGGCTCATTTAAAACTTAATTTTTACAAAATTATTTGTATATTATGGTTTTTTTATATTTTATATTTTGAATTTTGGTTTTTCTCAGATTATATATTCCATATGAAGTATGAGACACGTAAAACCTAGGATGATCATTTTAGGTACTTTTAAACTGTTTGAGAAGAAGTTTCTCTGCCGGAGTCTTTTGATCCCAAACTTACTAGTTTCTTAATTCAAATTAGAGCTAGGATGTATATGTATAGTATTCACCCGTCTACAGGCCGATGATGAAAATTATTTCTAGGGCTGACTACGAAAGTAGATCTAAAATCAATTGTTTTTTTTTTAACTTTAATAATTTATTTTAATTAAATTTATCTAAATTTGGAATTGATTTCATTAAAGGCTTCTCAGTCGAGGAACAGTTTTGGATTAATATCAAAGGTTATGAGTTATGACCGGACATACAAACAAACAGATTTACAATAACTTTATTATAGAGAGATGGTTATGGATAGACGTAAACGATAAAATAAGAGAGTTTGTTAAAGAATACTTTATATAATATATATAATTTAAGCTTTTTTTCTGGGACAATTAAAATACCTGCGTTTCTTACAAAATGCTTTTACCGAGGAGAAGGTGGCAGATCTAGAGGGTTTGAAGTAAAATCTAAAGGTCCAGAGTATAATTTGATGGTTAGATTTGAAAACATTCTGTATTGTCGATATATGACAAAATAATTAAAAATTGTCCTGCTTTACTATTTTAACAATAATTTATAACATTTTCTTGAAACGGAAATTCTTTGAATAATGTTGAAATAACCTTTTTATCAATACAAGTTTTTAACATTTAAAAAAAGTACGAAGCGAACTGAATTTTTGGGTTTCAAATAAATATGAAAAATTGCTATAATTTTCTATCTGACGAAAATGTTCTTCGTGTTCTAAGAACATTACAATTAGAGATTTTGTCATTAGTTAAAATACCTATATATGTGTTTCTACTCTCAAAAAAACGTTTTTTACGAGTATTTAAAAGATAGTTGAACAAATCCTTTAAGTAATCAGTATATGAAACTATATATTTATTGTTGTTATTTTTATGAATGAATATATATATATATATATATATATATATAATATGAATATTCCATATTCACTATTCAGATACTCTTCTTTCCTCATCCATCCTAAATTATTTGAGAATTGATAAAGAAAACATTGCATAATCTTCAAAAATTAAATTGATTTGCACGTAGAATCTTTCTAAAAAATTATGTGTTTTTTCCCCACAAAACTGAGACTCTGCGGAATTTTAAGTGACCCTACAGCAGGAAAATATGTAGTAATTATCAGAATTAAACACTTTAAAATCATATGAAAATAACATTATTGATAAGATAGAGGTTACAAGGGTACCCTGGAGAATCTTGCATTGTAATCTTTGCATGGATGGTCATTTTAAAGTACGCTTACAATCCCTTTAAAGAGTGTTTATTTATGTTTTCGGCAGCCCTGAACAATGTAAATGAAATCCTGCCAAAAATAATGAAATAGATAATCATTAATTCCTTGCCGCTGTAGACTTGTTTAATTTTTTTTCAAAATCAATTTGATATAATAATTAGACTTTATTTAAGGCAGAAAACCAAATTAAACCCTTTGAATCGCGATGTTTTAAGAGGTTTTGAACGTCATTTAAGTCTTTTTAATTGTGGTAACCTCTGAATGCATTTAATGATCAATTTGCAAATTTGTTGACAGTGAGGCCCAAAAATAATTTTCTTGGTTTTTATATTTTTTAAAGAATATTTAACAGCTTATGATAATAATTGAAGATGATAATAATCAAACATTGAGACCCAAAATACTATGCAAGATGACGACCTTTTAGAATCAAGTCGTCATTTTGAATATTTTAATGAACTCAAACACGGCAATTGCGCAATTCACATATTAAAGGGATTGTAAAGGAAATTAAAGGGGCTGAAAGCTAATCAATTTAGCTCTTGATCCCGACCCATGAAAGTTATATCTGATGTTCCTATCTCGAGAAATTGATATAAAACTTTGTCAAATTTATACGAAAATTAATATATTATAGAGGACGTGAGTCAGACTCTAATAAAACGCATAGATAACTTCCAGTATATATATTTCTTATAACTTATTACTAGAGGGTTCAGAACTAGAGTCAATATCGATATCGCACGTGTAGACTGTAGAGATCATATCAGTGCTAATGCCCCGTATCCGTTCTATCTCATTCTGTTGAATCTTGTGGAACTAGTTTAACGCGGCCAGGCATCGTCTTCCACAATATATACAATATTATATAAAAGTAGTGGGTTTAAAAAGATCTAATTCAGCAAATATGAAACCAATCTGAAAACGATGATATCCCAGAGAAAGCTAATTGTAACTTAGGTTTACTCCAATTCTAATTTTATATTTGTTATTTCTATTTTTTATAGATTTAATTCATAATATTATTTATACGTTCGTATTGCTTGACCAGAAATTCCACCAATGGCAGTGCAGTAAAGTGGTCATGTGATACAGGCGGAGACACATGACCAGTATACTGCTCTGCCATTGGTGATAGTTATGGTCACGTGATTTAAGTTTAAGATTTTCTAAATTTTACATATATGAACTTTCTTATAATTTTAACACAGTTTTATATCAATTTCTCGAGACAGGAATATCAGATAAAACTTTCATGGAACACGATCAAGAGCTAAAGTGATTAGCTTTCAGCCTATACCCCCTTTCATTTTTTCTTTACAGTCCCTTTAACTTGATTTTATATCTACTGGCAAAACCATTTTCTTAACAACGCGCCGAATACACATAAGATTGCTTGAATGGTCCACAGTTTTATAGGTCTCCATGTATTCACTGGGAAACACCTCTGCTGGTGCTGTTATTATTTGTTTGCTTTTCCCTTACCTAGCCGGAAGACGTGGATTGTATGTTGTCGCTGGTTTTCTCTGGAGACTCTAGGTTGGGTAGCGGATCAGTCGGTGCAGGTTTAGCTGGTACTTCGGGAGTTATCAACTTAAGCTTGCTCGGTACAACATCAACAGGCATCTTGGAAAGTTTAGTTTTCATCTTCGGACTGCTTTCTATTTTTTCCGGAACCATTTGATGATCTGCATCCTTGTCCTTTTTCCCATGAGTTGCCCTGAAAACATACAATAAAGATATTGACTTAAATACTATGATCGACATAAATGATTTTTTAGTAAACAATCCATGCTTTAAGTCATTGTCGTCGAAATAAGGTTTGATAGCTTTGCCAATTCAGCATCACTTGCTTCCAATGTTTAAAAAGGATTTCTTGCAATATAAAAGGTTAGAGTTGTCGAACGTTGATTTTCTTTGTATAATTTCCATGAGTATCTACTTTTAAAAATCAGATCTATAGATTTAAAGAAGTACTTTAAAAAAAGATATTTGACCTGAATTTAATCTTATTCAACGTTTTTAAAACTTTAAAAGATTTTTTACCAGAATGTGATGTATGTAATCCCAGCAACTGCAAGAGTTGAAGCGATGCCAATTATATGATTTCTTGACATTTTCAAATAAAGAACTGGGGATTTTCTTCCACAAGTTCGGCGGATTTATTGCTCCCATTCTAAAGATATTCTTTTCTAAAACTGAAAAATAAAATAAAAATGGAAACTTTAACAATGATTTCACTTTTAAAAAATCCATATTTCAGTAAAATGGTATTTGTTAGTTGATTAATCATGAACTTGGTAATATATACGTGAATTATAAATTTAACGTATGAAAAAGTAATTATTTTAAGGTTTTAAAGCTATTAACGAAATGCTTTCTACTTTCTCAACAAATTTTTGAGTAATTAAATATTTACTAAATTTTTTTCTTTCGAAATATACAATCTAGAGCAACATTTTATTACTCTTCCAATACATTAAATTTATTCCGGACTAACCAGGGCGAGACGCATACGGTTTCTACTATTTGAATTCCATCACATGTTGATCTTTAAACTTACGGAGTTATCTTTTTCCCTCTTTTCTTTCAAAACGCATATGCCGACAAAAAAGTATAAAATCGAAAAGGTGAACAAATTATGTTTAATAGGTCAACTCGAGATCGAAAGTCTGTGGAATAAGGACCGAACAGTTTAATCCATGTGAATAACATAAACATTGCATACAACATCTCAGAAATAAATGGAATTAATTCGGGAAGCAATAGAGCCATTATTTCAGGAATGAATGCAAAGAACGAAGGAACGAAGACGATTTAAAGGCATCCCACGTTTATTTAGCTACTCTGTGTTTCTGTTGAATTTTCCAACCATATGATTCTGTAACAGGTTTATTCATAGTTACTTAAACAGAAAACAGGCAGTTACGATAGATAGATAGATGATAGATAGATAACTAAGGTAGAACCACACAGGGCCTGCTATCCACTTAAATATTTGAAGTTTAGGTGCAGTTCCTTGGTTTATTAGTAGCAACGTACTATATACTGTATATAGAAATCCATTAATATACTTACAGTGACTTTAATATTTATTTTATCATATCATGGCTGAGACTCTTAAACGTTTTCAGTCTATTTTTATTTAACGTCAGTTTTTTCAATTCGATCTCAAAGTGTTTATTTTCAGAATGATAAAAGTTATTAAAAAAAACAAGGATATTTCGATATGAAAACATTTATTAAATTACTAATCACTTTATTTCATTTTTTGTCCACATTTTATCGTATTTTATCAAATAGAAATTATCTGTCTAATGAAGATGATTGTTTGCCTTGAACTTAAATTTTCATATTCCAATAACTTTGACCCGATTACGTTTACTTTTGATATTTTAAACTTAGATTATTTTATCAGAATTTATGGTTTGAAATATCAAAAGTCTAAAACATTGGGTTGCAAAAATAAATAGATAAGGAAATCTGAGAATATGCTGCAAGAACTCAGGCCCTTTGAAATGTAATATTCATTTATACATTATTGTTTTTTATTTAAAGAAATTGAGTCTTTCCCAAAAATTTTGATTTTTTAATCTCTATATCTTTGAAACCCAATGACGTACAATTTAAATATTTCAAACTATGAATTCTCCTAACTCAAATTATCTAAGTTTGAAATATCAAAGATTTACACCTTTAGGTTGCATAGATGAGGAGCTATGCAAATTTGAGTTTCTGGCAAAGACTCAACTCCTTTACAAAAACCGCAGATGATTCTAATACCGCCATGTTTATTTGGAAACCCTTTTAAATTCATCTTGCTACGCCAGATACCAAGCCATCAAGTCCTATAGAGATATTTTTTTGTGTCGATTGTTCTGCTAAACTTTTAGATTTGTCGCCGTTAAATAGAAAAAATATTCTCAAAACTTGAATATAAACTGGTCAAAAAAGGACAACAATAATTAATAAATATAATAAAAATATTGCAATTTGATGACATGGGCTTACATTTATAGAACCCTGTCCTTCTAATCCAACCCTGTCCTTTTCATTTTACCCTTTTTACTACACTGTTTAACTCACCCTTTCCTGTCCTACTTTTCCTACCCTGTCCTACTCTTCCTACACTGTTTAACTCACCCTTTCCTGTCCTACTCTTCCTACCCTGTCCTACTCTTCCTACACTGTTTAACTCACCCTTACCTGTCCTACTAATCCTACCCTGTCCTACTCTTCCTACACTGTTTAACTCACCCTTTCCTGTCCTACTAATCCTACCCTGTCCTACTCTTCCTACACTGTTTAACTCACCCTTTCCTGTCCTACTAATCCTACCCTGTCCTACTCTTCCTACACTGTTTAACTCACCCTTTCCTGTCCTACTCTTCCTACCCTGTCCTACTCTTCCTACACTATTTAACTCACCCTTTTCTGTCTTGCTCATCCTACCCTGTCCTACTCGTCCTACACTCTCTAACTCGCTCTTTCCTGTCCCACTCGTCATACCCTGTCCTACTCACCCTACCCTGTCCTACTCATCCTTCCCTGTCCTACTCATCCTGATATATTTGGAAATTAAACTTCGTGAAAAAGCAGTTGTGTTATAACTGTTCTTTTCGAATTGGTTCATTTTTGAAAAAAAAAATTTAACTTTTATCCGGGATTTTTCTCTCGTCAATTTTGTTGTTCAAGAAACCTTTCCTGGGGCCATGTGAGGTCCCACACACAATTTGGTCCCGGTTGGTTCACTCGTTTTGACGTATATAGGTTACAAACAGACAGACCGACAAGCAAAAATTATATATAGATGCTAGTAAAATATTATGTTTCCAGAACATGATTGATTGATTACTTTGAGGAGACTTCTGTTTCAGTGGGTAAAGGATGGATGCTTTAACACTCGTTACGTGGATAGGTGAGAAAACAAAAAACAGAAATTTTTCAATTTTGTTTCGAAAAATCAAGTTTTGTTACATCTGGATAAAGAAATAGTACATGTTAATTGTTTTGCATTTTAGTAAAGTTGAGGAACTGTACGATTTGTCATATTTCACTTTAAACTAAAAATGTCAGATTTTAAGACGACTTTTTTTGAGGCACAGTTTGATCAGAGGTTTGACGACATTTTTCTTCAAATTTCTGGCTAGAGCGCACTACTTTATAATAATTGCAATTGATACAAAAGATGACCATCTATAAGTTCTCCTTAATAGGGGACCGTTTTACTCATTGTACAGTTTGTACAAAGAGTACATTTTTACATTTCCTAAATGTTTCTACAAAAATAGCGAGATATATGTAGGGTATAGGTACTGACCTAAAAGCATAATATATTTATCATCCAAGACTAATAGCGCTTTTTTTCAGTTTGCTTGTTTAAACAAATGCATGCTTTTCTTTTAATTCCTCCAATATTCTCCGTATGTTTAAACAGATTTCATGTTAAAAATAATTTATATACTAAATAATTCTGTTTTCTTGCTTAAAGTCGCATTTTTGGCCTGCATTCTTATTCTCGCTGGTCTCGCTGTTCTTCTTTACATTCTTCTTAAATATTACAGGTATAGATACAATTACTCATTTTTAAATCTAATTTTTAATCTTTATATCTTAGCAACCTGATGTCGGATACATTTGATATTTCAAACTACAAACTCTGCTGGATTAGTCAAAGAATACTATTAAAGTACGGTCGTCGTTGCATACATTAATACATTAGTAAACTTAATTTTAGAAAAGCTTCTTGGAAATCGCAAAAATATCAAAATATCAAAATATCAAATGCCAAATGATTAAATGCCTAATTGTGGAGTACAAACGCAGTACGTTTCAATTAGGTCTACAAGCTAGAAATGTAAACGATCGGAGAAAAATCATAACAAAGGATCGTAGTGCATTGTTCATCTCAAAAGGGAAGAGAAGAAAAGAGAAAAGAGAACAGAAGAGTAGAGGAGATGAGAAAAAAGAGAAGAAAAAAGAAGAGACGAAAGAAGAGAAGAGAAAGAAGAAAAAATAGATTGCGTGAAAGAGAGAGCTGCATTTTACAGACGTTTTATCATAGCAATATTTTTAAGAATACCTCAAACTTTAAAATTTAAAAAAAAAATGTCCTAACTGTATAGTGTACATTTAAAGATTTTTGATCATTTGGCATTTGGTAATTTGATATTTTTGCATAGAAATCAAAGCTTAAATAGAAAATTCATCTTCATTGTTGGGGTAAAACTTCATTGAAGGTTGTGTCAGACCCATGGGAAGGGTGTCGAGAAGAAATTATAATTAATTCCAACCAACGATGTGTCTAAGAAAAAGGGGAAAAAAACGTCTCTTTAGACGCGATTCAAGATTTAATTTGAATAAAGTTTTCTCTCGAAATCATAAACTGAAGTAAAAAAGAAATATTTTGAATTATTTCCTAAATTTTTGTTCTTCAATACTTCACTTTCATCTCAACAATCGCAATAATGTTTACAAACATAATTTCTTTGAAAAATTATATTCCAATTAAGGCTGCAACTCCTGATTTTTTTCTGGTAGCATATATTCTGAAAATTTAAGATATATATTAAAAACATTGATTTTAAATTTATAAAAAACGTTTTTATTTCAGAAAGGACTATACACCGATACAACAGATAGACAGAAGGTACAAATCTATAAATCCATAATAACATGTGTTTTACAGTGTGGACCAATAAGATTGAAATTCTATACATATAGCAGACTTTAAAAAGATATATTTCATTACTTAAAGAACAGAAAGGTCGCCATTAATATATTTTTACTAATTGGGAAAATGTGAATAAAAAAATTACGAAAAACTATATCTATGCAATCTGATGTCGCAGGTCTTAGACATTTCATGTATGAAATATGTAAGATCAAATATTTAAAATATGAAAAATCTCAGCTGTACACAATCCAGTTGCAAATATATTGGGATTACAAATTTCTAGCAAAGAATCTTTATTCTCTGCAGAACATAATAACCAAAATTAAAACCGCAGACTTGTTTAATCCACGCCATATTATGACCAGAAAAGATTGTCACAAACAAGAATTTATTTCTAGCGGGGAAGGAAGATACAGTCATGTATTTTATGAACGCGAGAAACCGGAAATACATCGGAATTCTGAGGCTGCTTCCAACCTAGATGTCGTTGAATTAAGAAACAATATCATTAAGGTATTTCATAACACTACATTTATATGAAGAAATGATTAAAATAAATTTTGTACATTTAGATTTATTATAAACTTTTGTGATGTTAGTTTTTGTAATTAAAAAAAATATCAGTTTTTGATAAATTTTTAAATCTAACACAACTAAAATCACCTCCTTATATTATAATTGATTTTTTATAATTTTTATAAACTAAAATGGTACAAGGCATAGTTAATAATTTCAAATGTTAATATTTTTTCTCCTTTCTTCATCTGAACGTCTGCAAGTTCTCTTTTTCTTGATTCCCTTTGCCCGTCCATCTCTGCTCTGCTTTTGAAAGAACGTTTACGAGTCGCGGTCTTTGCGCCATTCAGACTGTGCACGTTCCTTTCATTGTAGAGATCCTCCTCTCTGTTTTCATTGTAGAGATGCTCCTCTCCGTTTTCATTGTAGAGATCCTCCTCTCCGTTTTCATTGTAGAGATTCCTCCTCAACCTTTCATTGTAGAGATCCTCCTCTCCGTTTTCATTGTAGAGATCCTCCTCTCCGTTTTCATCGTAGAGATCCTCCTCTCCGTTTTCATTGTAGAGATCCTCCTCTCCGTTTTCATTGTAGAGATCATCCTCTCCGTTTTCATTGTAGAGATCCTCCTCTCCGTTTTCATTGTAGAGATCATTCTCTCCGTTTTCATTGTAGAGATCGTCCTCTCCGTTTTCATTGTAGAGATCATCCTCTCCGTTTTCATTGTAGAGATCCTCCTCTCCGTTTTCTGTTTGTTTTACTTAATTGTAAATGCATTCTGTCTACTTGCATTTTCTAGGTCACCACTCTTAGAACTTTAAGTTATTTAGTTTCTATATGCAGCGAGGGGAGTAATAGCTTCCCTGCTATGAACTGCAGATTTTTAATTTTCTAAACTAAGAGGGTTGCTATTCAATGAAGGATAATCAAGTGACCTGCTCAGCGGTAATCTTGTTGTAGGATCCAACAGAGATATGTCCTCGAGTCTCATTTCACTGTTTGTGAGAAGGTTAGATGGTAGGTATTGGAGAGTAGGGATGAGGATGAGGGTTTGTAGGAGTGGCGTTTTGTTATATCCTATTTCTTGATAGTACCCCGGCCTTCATTTTTAAGAATAAAGAAGAAGAATTGTATTTTCTAAAACGAAAAAAAACCCCGGTTTTTAATTTTAAGCGTTACTTTCTATTTCCTCTTTTTTTCTAGAACTGTTCACCTAGAAGATCCCAATCCTTGTTAGATATTCCTCACCATAGGTTAGATATTTTATACAATAGAATATATACTTTACACACCATATTATATATTCCTAACCATTGGTTAGATATTTTATACAATAGAATATTGTTGACGGAAAACAGCAACACGCTAGACAAATCAGGATAATAGGCCGGTTAGGATTCTGGTGGGGGATGTTTATTTTCCCCGGACGATTCTTTCCCGATAGGCCGCACAAAATACACACAACAGAGTAACCCCGTCTCAGAAATTCGATAACAAAATCTTTATTTCCTAAAAAATAACATAAATTATAGGTCATGTTTACTTGTACAATGTTATAATGAATGTTANCACATTGCTATAGGATAGACATTTTAAACACTATAATAGGCGCATAGAAATTCCTGTCCTAATACTCTATATTATATTACATTTAATACAATAGAATAGTATAAAAAATATTGAAACGTTTTAATTATCCTAGTCTATTCTTCAACCATTATGTATTGAGTTGAGAAAACTATGATCACGAAATGTATTTTTTAGGAAAAAGATAGATGAAGGAAATATTCCTCTTTTACCAAGGTTAGTTTAGTGTGAGCTTTATAGTTAACATATTTTCTTTTTCAAGAATAAAATCAATTAGAAAATCAATAAAATAGACAAAATTTAATTTATAAAAACCCTTCACGCTTAGTTTCAAGAAATAAAATCAATTAGAAAATCAATATAATAAACAAAATTTAATTAAAAAACCCTTCACGCTTTAGTTTCAAGAAATAAAATCAATTAAAAAATCAATAAAATAAACAAAATTTAATTAAAAAACCCTTCACGCTTAGTTTCAAGAAATAAAATCAATTAGAAAATCAATAAAATAAACAAAATTTAATTAAAAAACCCTTCACGCTTTAGTTTCAAGAAATAAAATCAATTAAAAAATCAATAAAATAGACAAAATTTAATTAAAAAACCCTTCACGCTTAGTTTCAAGAAATAAAATCAATTAAAAAATCAATAAAATAGACAAAATTTAATTTTAAAAAACCCTTCACGCTGTAGTTTCAAGAAATAAAGAATTTTCCACGAAGTTTGGGACAGATTGTTTTAAATTTAATTTTAATTAATAATTACAAACCCTTCAAATCTGAAGCAATAAAACACTATTCATTTTTAGAAAGGAAGAGTTCGTTGAGTCTCAATATTTTGATTGTCAAGAATATCTAGGTAGAAAATTAAAACATACATTTTTTAAAATTGCATCTTTTGTTTTTATTGAATTCTATTTGAAGAGCCCTGTTCAGAGGACGAATATGAAGATCTAGAAGAGGATAGGTAAATTATAGATAATAATAATAAGGAATCTATATTAAAGGCTAGAAATCAGCTGATAGCTGAAGTTTGAAATGAACAGCTGATTACAATCACATGGTTTTTCTGGGATATATGTTAGGCTTAATCCAAACACTTGTTTAAAATAACTTAGAATTAAATAGGAGCCGTCTACTGTAAACACGATGGTTCATTTCTAGTACCGGGTTGACTTTTAAGCAGTTAGAGCAAAGCGGGACAGTAAAACAAAAGAATCAGCTCCTTCCATGGAGATTCTAGTACGTTTAAAGCTGTGTACGTAAATTATTTGATAGAAAAGATATCTCCTTAGCAACAATCTATGAAAGGATTAAAGAATACAGTTTAAAAAGTATCAGTTTAAAGTAAGTTAAAAACATTTCCGTTAGGTTTGACGAGATTGAAGAACTTCCTGCAAAGAAACATCATAAGAAGAAGCTAAGGAAGCTAACAAAGGAAAAACAAATCTTCTATAAATAAGCGAATTAAATGTCAAAGAAGGTCATTTTCTTTTTAACAGTTCGAATGATCTTCTGGAGATTTTTTTCTCATTAAATCTACAATAACGACATCGAAATATATTTCCTACTTCCGAGATATTTTTACTGTATTATTTTATTCCCCGATCACATTCACCACCAAGAAACTTGTTTGTTCTCAGGAGGAAAAAATGCGCGTGAACGCGCTCAAGATCATTTTACTCCAACAGAAGCGCTTAGAAGGAGAGATGCATAGGTATAAAACATTCATTGTTGAACCTTGTAGTCATGACTCATGATTTTAAAATAATTTTGTTGTTTTCAGAGAAATATTTTTACTTGAAGCTGTTTACGACAAGAAGAAAGAGGATATTTATCAGACTAGGTTTGTGAATATGAGTAGTACAAAAGAATAATAAAAAACTATGCTAAATTTCACATTTTTCTTGATTTAAACATTCATTTTCCAACCGTAATAAGTTTATACTTAGTAGTAGTTCAATCTCAAAATAAGACGTGCAATATTAAATTTTCTAATCCCTATATCTTTGCAACCTGATGGTGTAAACCTTTGATATTTCTACTTACTTTACTTAATTACTTAGACTATTTGATCTACCAAAATTAATAGTTTGAAATATCAAAGGTCTAGGAAAACGGGTTGCTAAGTTATAAGAATTAGAAAATCTGAGTATGTGGCAAAAACTCAATTCCTTTGACTATACAAAGCAGGTTTCATTTTTTTTTGAAAATAATATTTGTTCATGTATTTTTTTTTCTTTCAATACCTGAACCGTATTCCTAAAGACGGAAACTGATAGAAGGCGAACCTGTTGATCCAGAGTCTGATCCTAATATTGAAAGGTAAAAAAAAAAATTGAAATAAATAATTGATCTGTCACAGTGCGTAGACTCAGAAGTATGTATTCCTTAGTGCGTCCTTATTAGACCACCCCGCCTTACTTATGCGTCCTCATAACTGAGACCTCATCATAGTGTGTCCTCATTAGTGTGTCATCATTAGTGCGTCCTTATTAGACCGCCCCACCTTACTTATACGTCCTCATAACTGGGACCTCATCATAGTGTGTCCTCATTAGTGTGTTCTCATTAGTGCGTCCTTATTAGACCGCCCTACCTTACTTATGCGTCCTAATAACTGGGACCTCATCAAAGTGTGTCCTCATTAGTGTGTCCTCATTAGTGCGTCCTTATTAGACCACCCCACCTTACTTATACGTCCTCATAACTGGGACCTCATCATAGTGTGTCCTCAGGATACTGCAGTACATGATATAGTTTATGGTTTTTTTAGGGATCCAGGTATCCCAGGATACTGGCTCAAGGTTCTACTAAACTCTAGAAACCTCAAGAATATTGTACAAGTAAGAAACCTAACGATTTCCTTAGCTCGTATTAAACAGTTTTAAAACTATTTTCTGATCAGCAATGATATTTGCATTTTCAAAAAAAATCTGAGATTAAAATTTTTGTATTGATTTTCCATTCCGAACGTATCAGTCAGCATCTTTTGGAGAAATAAGTTAATTCCTTTGAGATTTCTACAAAATCCCGATTAAATTATAATATTATCACTATTTGATTCAACATTTACGATCTCTAATAATATAATAATTTATTCTTCAGAAATTGGCTCGCGAATTTTTACGGCTCAAAATTAGCAAAGTCTCACTTTTGAATTTTTACTATATTTTTTTGCAGCGGGGTTATCTTTTGATTTTTACTATATTTTTTGCAGCGGGGTGTTTTCTAAAATTACGTTGGAAATCTCTGCAAAATCAAAAGGATTTTTGTAAGTTACAGGACTTATGTAATTTTATAAAAAGTAATCTGTCAGGATTTGATATTTGTAAATTTAAAGGCAACGGATATACCAGCACTGGAGAACTTGGTGGATATTTCTGTAACTAATCTTATTCAACTCAGTGGGTTCAGGATCAACTTCAGTTTCAGGGTAGGCTTTAAATATATACTCAAAGAGCGGTTTCAGGATTTAAGATGGGGGGGGGGGTAATCTTTAAAAAAAAAATTACCCCCCCCCCCCTCCTCTATTGCTAAAAAGTTCTATTTACCGCCCTAACCCTACAACAATTACATTTTCTTTATAGTATAGGGTAGGCAAATGTCTTAATAGTCAATTTTTTTTGTAAATCATGCTAATTTTCTTGCAGGAGGCTGCAAGTAGTTTATATGTTTATTTTTAGAATTAAAAATAACCAAAAGAAGTCTAAAAGTAAATAAAGGGATTTTTGTTCAATATAAAAAAATATCCTCCTTTATTTCAATCTACAATAATTTAGTTTTCTTGTGTCGCTTGAAGTAAAGGCATTTAAAACATTGATGTCCGAAATTGAGGTAAACCTCTTTGGGTGTATCGTCATTCTTCCCAGGTTGACCGACCTGTCGATGGTAATAAGATGACCCGTTCAATCAGAGCATTGAGCAGTATTTACATAACAATGTTTCAGTGGTCGATAAAAACTTGGGTTATCCCGGATGTATTTTATGGAGGAGGATATATATATATATATGTTTATATTTGCACTCATGGGGGGGGGGGGGTAATGGACTGCCAACCCCCCCTTGAAACCGTCAAAGATGAGGAGAGGGGGAATACTATTCAAGGATGGAGAAGGGATAAGGATCAATTAGAGGCACCCAGCTTTGGTTGTAAGCTAAACTTTCTCTACAAAAGTCAACCTTCTAAATTTAGAATTGTTTTCTAAAATCATTCTATAGCAAAGAATAATATAATAAGAATATAATATATAAGAATAATAATAAAAATACCTGGAAATTATACAAGATTAATAATTGACAGTGAAAATTTATCTAAAGATTAATAATTAAGAAATTATAATTAATAATAATAATTTAAGAGATACATGATTTTTATAGAAATAGTTTTTAAAGTCATATTTTTGCAGGAGAACGAATATTTTCGAAATATTGTTCTAACGAAGGATTATTTAATCAACTTTATGCCACCTGAAGATGCTTCGTTTCTTCAGTATGAAGGTTTGTATTTTGTTTTAATAAGACTGAATTCAATTCATAGAAAATAAATTAAGTCTTTGTCACAAACTCTGATTTTTTAATCCCTATATCTTTGCAACCCAACAAAAACAAGTAATATAAGTTTGAAATATAAAAGGTTTACCATAAGGTTTCAAAGATATAGGTCTAAAAGACGCAAGTTCCTCGAAGATTTTGTAATTTAAAATTGACAAGAACATTTTTGATTTTATTTTTCGTGAATATTAGGTCCCCAGGTAGTTCAGTGTGAAGGATGTAAAGTGCAGTGGAATAGACACAAGAATCTGACAATCCGTCCTGTCAAGAAACTACAAAACCATAAAATAATCACAAAGTAAGTTTTTTTTTCTTTTTTCTTAGCGTTGATTAGATTTTTATGGCGACCTTCAACTCTCAAGATTTGAAGATTTATTTGGTTTCCGATTCTAAGTTTTTTATATTTCATATTTCATATTTTATTCAACTACAAAGCACGAGATAATACAAATAAAAAAATCACAATTTACTATGTAGTTTGGACCCGCCTAACCAGAGTAGGTTGTTTTAATTGGTTGGCCCACTATAAACGAATGAGAATTGCAGATAAAAACAATGTACATTGTACATTTTAAACATAAGAATGATGATAAATCAGGAAAATGGTAAGGAGGAGGTGAGGGAGTATAAGGGAAAGGGAGGATACTCAGCGTAAGGGTTGGAACAGAGGGTAACATAAGTTATTAAAATCATGTTTATGAAATACAGGGTGATGAAGATAGTAAAGACTAAGTTTATCCACATGATACACAGTTTTTTTTTACAGATATAATTTGCATAACTATCTAAAGAGATCTTGGCGACTTTACTTTTAAACGATTTTGCAGATTTAGTTTCTTTCAGCTTTAATTCAATCGAATTCCATATTTTTGGAAATAAAGCAGAGGGAAAACATTCTAGAGTTTTAAAGAGAACCCGTTCAAGTTTATATGATTTTGTTCTATTTGGTTCAGCTAAAGAATTAAACATATCATGGAAGAAAGCTGGAAGGTTTTCATAAAAGTATTTATGCATAAAAGATAGAACACCTAGTTTATATGTATCATCAAAATTTATATCATTATAAGCACTTTTTCATCTGACAAAGTTTGTTGGAGCACCGGAGCTAAATTCAACTTGGTAGCTCGATTCTTCAAATATTGATGAATGATCAATTTTATCTATCAAATTTTGACGAATTAATGAAGTAGAACTTTGAAATTGGCTTGGGTGCTCCAACGAACTTTGATAAAAATATGACGTTTCTTCTTTTGCAAGGAAAAAATACATATATGTAATCCATCAGTTAAAAATCATATTAATTAAATCAAAAAAAAAATCATATTAATTAAATCGTTAAAAAAATTCAGGTTTGCCAGAAAGAACTCGTTTTTTAATTTCTTTAATCCTCCTGCACTACCTGAACCAGAACACCCACAATATCAGAATAAGAAGGATCTACTAGAAGCACATATACAGATCGGACTGTTTATTAAGGTAATCATGAATTGAAATATCACTGCAGTGGTTTTGTAATCTGTAATTGTAATATTTAAAAATGTACAGGACAAGATATAAATCAAATATCCACCCATTATATTAAGATATGACTTACACCCTTTACACTTCTTTAAAATTCATTTCTCAAAAAATGAATTAAATTTTGAAAATAACCCGTGTTTCCCTTAAATCTATGGTATTTGTTTTGAAAAGTTTTATATTTTTTTAGGAATACATTGTTCCTAAATCCTACCTTTTCTTTACTGTCCCAGACTTTGACAAGGAGATAGAAAAGGTAAAAATAAAAAAATACTTTGTATTTTGCTTTCTGTATAATCTGAAATCTGTATTCTGGAATCTGTATTCTGGAATCTGTATTCTGTAATCTGTATAATCTGGAATCTGTATTCTGGAATCTGTATTCTGGAATCTGTATTCTGGAATCTGTATTTCTGTATTCTGGAATCTGTATTCTGGAATCTGTATTCTGGAATCTGTATTCTGGAATCTGTATTCTGGAATCTATCAATGACTTCAGTCAATTAATGATTGACACGACTTCGACAGACATGTCGCTATGTATTTCGATGATTGCTATGTTTTTCAATTTTTGTGGTTAAATGGCAGGCACCTATGTTTGTTTATAATTCTTATGCCAGCCAAGTTTTTTTATATCTAAAGACATTCATGATTTGTTTACATATTTGCAGTCTTTTGGTTTAAAGTTAAATTGTATTGCAGTTCAAGATAGATAATTTTTAACAAAAGTTAATGTTCATTATTTCTCTGTTGGTAGTTTGATGGCAGCCATGTTTAAATTCTGTTTTAGAATGTAGGTCGAAGAATATACAGCGGCAGTTCTAAGTCAGGTCGAGGAACTCCTAGAAAACTATCAGGTTAAGTTCATCAACATATTGTCACCAATTAAAGGGAGTGACTGCATAAACATGGTAGATGAGCTGAGAGTGCATTATTGTAGAGAACTTTCTTAGGATTCATTTGAGACCTTTAAGACGTCTTTACGTTGGTAAATTGTTCATCTTTTAAACTCCTCCTTGGAGCCCGCCTGCCTTTCAGGTGGTGGGGCGGCAAACTTTTAGTATAAATAGATAACTGCTTGCTCATAACTTTTATATTCAGAGTTACCCACAAAGAATGAGACTTCAGAGACCTGCGTCGTATTGAATTTAATCATCTGTATGTTCATATTTCCCTGCAGCTTTAAACTTTTTTGTTTGCTGTTGTAGTTGTAATCAAAATACTTTATAAATGGAAGAATACGACATTCAGATAGTTATATTCCTAGAGTGTTAGGTCGTATTAAATTCTCATAGTTTTTGGGTACTCCTGTTTTTTTCTGCTAAATCATGATTTTATTCTGAAACTGTTCAGGATCCACTCCTGCCGATATTTGGAAGCTCTCAACCTCAAAGATAGAAACTCCAAGTGCTAAGAAACTGTCAATATCCAACCAGGTTGAATAAATCATAAAATAAATATTTAAATTATTACTCAACATGCTTTATCTGTTTACACATGATTCATATTGTCTAGGATACAGGCCGGAAGAGTGTGTTAGTTGGGAGTACAGGGAGTAGTTTAGTAAATCAGGATCAGGAGACAGAAATTGTTAACAACATAGGTAGAGTTCTATTGTTTAAAAAATAATTAAATAAAATAATTTTCACGTTTTTATTTTTTTTAGAAGATGAGAAAGAGAAAAAAATCCCTGACCGTGATATAAACGATAATAAGAGCTGGTAATATTTAGTTTTATTTTACATATATTAAATTAGCATTTACTACAGTGAAACCCTTAATAACGAATACATTGGAAGAATTTATCAAATATTGACTTGACAATTTTTCAATGAGTTTTATACTATATTACGTAAATTTCAGTATTTGCGAAAATAAATAAATAGCCATCAATATGCAGGAACAGTTTTAAAGAGCTCCATATAATCATTTAATTAAAAAACTAAATATCTGCAACATTCCATTATCAGAAAGTGAAGAATACGACATTTAATGAATTCTTTCGATGTATTCGTTATTAAGGGTGAGGAAAAAACTCAGAGATCGTCTTTGATATTTCATGGCATATCAAGTGACAAAACATTTTTACATCAAAAGTTGTATGCTTTCCAAATAGATTTGATAAACACTATGTTATTTAATATATAGTATATATTCATACACTGCAGATATCAAAGACGATCTTTTAGTCTTCTCTCATTTGTCATATTAAATTAAGTCTCCCTGTGTTATGACTTCAGTATTGCAGAGTGTCCCATGTTATACTCATATTGGATTATCTTCAAGTTTTAATGTCAAAATATGAACAGAAGGCTTAAACTTTTGTTTGGTTAGATAGAACGAATTGTGTAGAATGATACTATACAGTATACACGACCCAAAATGTAATATAATATATCACGATTAAGTCTGTAAAAATACGTTTTTCGTTTTTATTCTAACCCGTTGTTATTTAAAATCTCCAACATTAAAAGAATTAAGGATTTTTAGAAATAAATTTACATCATAATTAAGTTTTGATATCTTTTGTGATATTTGATTTTTATGGAAACTTTCCGTGTTTCTATAAAGCTTTATATATATATATATACATATATATATATAGGTACGTTTGAGCGAGCCGATTTTTTCCCCCAAACCAAAGGGCTTTTAAAACCTGGGCAACTGTGGGTATTCCAGATAGTAGTAAATAAATCAAATCAATTCTTTATCCGGCAAAATTCAGATTTGATTTGATATTTAACTTGATTTGATTTTGATTTTAACATTTGAAATATTTTAGTTCTATGAATTGTTCTGAAAGGGTGGTTGGTAAGGAGGTGCATGATGAAGGGGAAACGGAAGAAGAAGAGGAGGGGCAGGAGGAAGGTGATAGATCAGGTTCAAATGGAATCCTAAGAAATGGAAATATTTGGTGAGTCGTGAATCTTTTTTTATGAAACCTTTATGTTTAAATTTTTAATCTTTTCTTTGTAGTGTTGAGATTGATCCTTTACCTGGTAAATACAAAATGGAGTCGTCAGAAATGGTAATTTTTATATTTATCGTTTGGACATAATTAGTCATGAACTTTATACGAATACTTTAAGAATTTTTATTGGCTAAAATATAGACGATAGCCGTTAACACGAATATTAATTATATAATATGACGTCAATGGTCTTTAATTTCCAATTGTAAAGCAAAAACAAAAACTTTTTATTACAATCTCTAATGGTGAAATTTAAACTTCCACTTTTACACTCATTTATAAATCAAATCTCCGTGTTGTAAAATATAAAAACCGATTTTCTGTTAAGTTTGATGAGTTTCTAAAGGCTCTGGGTGTAGGGATGGTACGAAGACGACTTGCTGGCTCGGTTGTTCCTATTAATGTTGTCGAAATCGACCAAGATGGACTTTACACCATAAAGTAAGATTTTCATAAAAAAATGAAAAACTGTTTGAATAACATATCATCATTTCAGAACACTGACGACTGTCCGGAGCACGGAAATTTCGTTTAGACTAGGAGAACCTTTTATTGAGGACACCCTGGACGGTAGGAGAGCTACCACTACTGCTACTAGAACAGGTATACACGATTTAAAAGAATATACAGATGATAAGAGAGGGAGTATTTGGTTTATGTTGGTATTTTTGTGAATGTTAACTTGTAAGAGTATTGTAAAATCATTTCCACAGGGATTTATAAAATACCAGTACTGAGTACATCCTGTCTGTTTTGGACTATTTTTAATCATATTTTTATCTCTCATTTAAAGTTTCTTAAGAATAGCCTGAGAGAGACATTATTTACTTAAATATTTAAAATACATAGCCTAATAAAAAAGTATACAATAAAAATACATTTAGTTTAAAAATGGGTTCTTAGTTTAAGACTCTCATCATGGACTCTAGTTTACCATAAGGGTTAGAATTAGGGGGGATGATAGTTCTCTACCTGTGTGCACAGTTAGCTGTATTGTACACTTACAACTGTTTACTGATAATGATATACTATACAGAATCAATTTATAATAAACAAATATGCAGTACGCTCTCGGTATAGTTCATGGCCTATATAATTAGTAAAGGATTAGCGTACATCATCACTCTATACACTATAACCTCGTTGGTTAGAATAAAAAAATTACTGACATAAAAAAATGACTACCATCATTTTCTTGTTTTATCTGTGTAACTGTTTGGTATTTTCAGTGCTTAGCATCCGGATCTGGATTCACTTGATCCGTAATAATTTGGATTCATGTATACTGTGCCTGGATCCGCAAAATATGCAAATCTACGGATCAAAATTAAATTAGCTAAGATATCAATCAACCTTGATAAAAAAAATGTGCTCATATCAGGGTTGCAAATAAGAAATCTGTAAATATCTCCTTAAAAATAAAAGATTTATACAGTGAAACCCTTAATAACGAATACATTGGAAGAATTTATCAAATGTTGACTTGACAATTTTTCAATGAGTTTTATACTATATTACGTAAATTTCAGTATTTGCGAAAATAAATAAATAGCCATCAATATGCAGGACCAGTTTTAAAGAGCTCCATATAATCATTTAATTAAAAAACTAAATATCTGCAACATTCCATTATAAGAAAGTGATGAATACGACATTTGATAAATTCTTTCAATGTATTCGCTATTAAGGGTTTCACTGTATATTATTTTGTTTTTCGTCCAGATCAAAGTAAACTTGATGTTATTCACTTGTATTTGTAACTAAATTCAAGATTTTCATGAATGTTACGTAATGAGCTTAAATGTCGTCTTTTACCAGGGAATCTGTTGACCCTGGACCAGGTTGGGAACCCAGGGGAGAAGAACACCGTGTTTACGAGGGAGGTGGAGGGGGACATCATGATTGCTAAATTAACAGTGGAGAATGTCACATGTACCCGTGTTTATAAAAGAATGGAAGAATAGTAATGCAACAGAGACTAGAGATATATAAATTAAATCAAAAATGGTTTTCATATTTTAAATTTAAAACCACAGTTTGTATAGGAGTATCCTAATGGTCATCCCACAAGGCTGAGAATTCAGAGACACTGTGTACCAGTGTATCGAATAAATTCAGCCTTTTTTAACTTTCTGGTTCCCCAGACTCTCTCAACTTGACACTTTTTTACATATTTCCCAGATCATTAATTTTATATTTAGAATACTATTTTCAAGACAAAAAATTAGATTTAACCTTCAGATCGTCATATTTAAAGAGTTTAAGGTCGGCAATAAAGTCTTTATGGTAACTCTTTACTGTATTCTACACATAAACTCTTATCTACGTTGTTTGTGCTTTATTTACTATTTACTTCATGAATTTGAAAAATCAAGTTTAATTTTCATAATTTTGTCCCAGCCATAACCTATCCTGTCACAACACGAACTTTAATAATTGGTCAGAAGATCATCAGTCAAAGTTGCTACAAATATTGTATAGCTGCGTATAGATTATATCTAAGATTGTCTTTGTTTCTTTAGAAAGATCAAGTTCTAAATAAAAACTTTTATTGATAAAATAAAAAATGACAAAATATACAGCATTTTTGAAATCCATAGAGTTCGTAAAAATATGAAATTAAAAGGTTTAATATAAGTATTAGAAAACTAAAATATGGTGCCAATTTAAGTATTTTTATTACATTTTGCGGGTATCATCAAATCTTATATATTATTACGAGATCATTGTAATTTTTGTTCATTAAAAAGAATAAACTAAATTGGAAATTGCTTTACTCTACCGATTTCAGAACTCAATAGTTCAAATACAAATACAAATTCTAAAAACAATGCTCAATTGTTTTTTGTTTGTTGTGTCCACTTTTTGACGTTGTAACTTAAGATATGTTCAAAAAACTAAATATCAAATGCATCGAAAGAATTTATCAAATGTCGTATTCTTCCCTTTCTGATAATGGAATGTTGCAGATATTTAGTTTTTTAATTAAATGATTGGATGGAGCTCTATAAAACTGTTCCCATATATTCATGGCTATTTATTTATTTTCGCAATTACTGAGATTTAAGTAAAATAGTATAAACCCATTGAAAAATTGTCAAGACGACATTTTATAAATTTTTTCGATGTATTTAATATTTAGGGTTTTACTGTAAGAAACTTTTTTATCCTTTAAAAGATTCAAGAGTTTATAAAGTACTTTACAAACTGTTTCTCATGTGTGTTTTTAAACAAGAAATATAAAATATAAAAATGTTCATTTTCCAAAATAAATGTAATTATATCCACAAAAAGTGCTCAACTAGTTGATGATACTCTTTTCAAAGTATGTTTCTGGAGATCTATTGAAATTGTAATTGATATTAAACGATGTATTCTGATGATTGTACGTGGCTTCCCTGATCTTATAATTATTTTCATTAGTTGCATCAACATCATGCTTATGTATATTTTTATGATTGTACATTGGATGCTTGCTGTTATCGGTTGGATTGCTGTTGCTGTGGTAAGGGTTGCTGTTGTTGTGGTAAGGGTTGTTGTTGCTGGCCTTATGATGGTTGTTTGTATGTTTGTTGTATCTAGTTGGATTTGTTTGTTTGTTATTTTGAAAACTAAAACTTGTTTTCTGGTTGTACTTCGGATCATCAAGAATACTTTCAGTAACCTCAAGCCGTCTGAAGAAAATTAAAAAAAATACTAATTCATTTAGAAAAAAGAAGGTATTACGGTAATAACTGAACGACATCTAAAGATTGGGTTAATCATTGCTCTTCTTGTAACATTACTGTAAAAAGTTCTTGTAACTTAAAAAGTTCACCGAAAATTTTACAATTTCTTTATAATACAAACTTTGCAATTGATTAACTATCATAAGATCGAAGAAATCAAGTATGATTTTAAATTCGTGAGATTGACCCACACGAGTATAACACCTTTTAAAAAGTTTAAAAAGTTGCAAGAGTAGTTGAACAGGGAGTTGAGCAGAATTATAGTTTAAATAATAAAGTTTAAATTTCACCTTCTTAGAGCTTCAGATAATCTGTCAATATGAAGACTCAGTTCTTCAAATTCACTTTCTAAACAATATAAAGTTTTATACTATAGTGCTCTTGCATTTAGAGACCTCCCAAACTATGGATTATAGGATTAATTTTTACTTCGATTATCTTGCTTTTTTAATGAATTTGAGCTAGGTCTCTACCTACCGCCGGTTCAAATCCTGAATCCCCGATTCAAATTTAAAGATTCATGAGGAATTTGAATCGGTTATTCAGGATTTGAACCGGCTCTAGGAAGTTCAGCAAACTCTTCAATTCATCGAATTCGGTTACTGAACATGTGACGAAAAACATTATATTTTTATACAAAACGATTTAAATAGCAAATATTTAAAACTAACAATCAGACCAGTAAAAGACGAAATTATATAGACCTGCTAACATAGAGCTAACACGAATCTTCTATTTGTGGACTATAGTCTGGACGTCTTTATCTTTTGTGGGTGAGGAACGACCCTCCGACATATACTATTTTTACAATTAGCTTGGGGAAGCAAAAAAAAACAGACAAAACATTGACAAGTAAAAGGGACTGTAGTCGTAATTTCTTCTGGAACTCCATTAAAGGGACAGACCGGCTATGTAAGGTAGTTGAACTGAGTATGAATTGTTTAGGATTCATTTGAGACATATTAAACCTTTTAAAGATCTGTAAATCCTGAGTTTGAGCGCAAAGTCGATGTTCAAAATCGTACTTTTCAGTGGATACGTTTTCAGAATTTTTTTTTAAATTATTAAATAACGACGACAAAAAATGTAAACAAAATTCTACAATAAAATAATTAGTTGTCTATGAACAGATTGAGAAAATAAAAATTTAATCTTATCATCGAAAATAAGTAATCTTGTTCAATTATTAGTTCCTATTTTCTCATTTTTCTAGTTTCTCATTATTCGCAAAGATTTTCTGCAGATTTTCTGGAATTATTATTGAAAAGACGACATTTGAAAAATTTGAAGAAATATTTTCACAGAAAATAAGAATTTTCATATAATGATGAAAACGAAATAATTGATTCTAGCATTGATTTATTGACAAATTTCTTTTGGGAAATATGCTCCCAGCTATCTAATTAGTTTACGGTAAAATTTTTACTTTATTTTTCGTCGTGGTTTATTAATAATTTAAAAAAAAAACCTATTCTGAAAACGTACTCACCCAAATTCATAATTTTGAACGTCGACTATGCACTCAAACTCAGTAATTATACATTGTGGAAAAGTTTTATATGTATCAAATGAATCCTAAAGAATTTGTCCACAGCACTGCATACTCAGTTTAGCTACCTTACATAGCCGATCTGTCCCTTTAACAGATCAAGCGGTATGTCCAATTTACAAGGATACTCTTTAAACCTTTATCTGATCAAATAGAAAGAAGAAATTGTGTCTATAGAGAGGGACAGTCCCTTTCCGCTCAAATTCTGAACGAAAAATCGGCCTTTTCTCCGGCCACAGTTGTCTTTAAAAAGTAAGACTATTACCAATCAACAGCGAATAGGCTATTTAGCTTACCTTGAAAATTACCCAAATAAGTGAACGGTTCCTTTAAAGTCGTATTTAAAACTGTAAATTGAACTAACATACAGGCCAATTTCTGTTTAAGGTCGTATTCAAAACAATAAACTGACCTAACATACAGGCCAGATTCTGTTTAAGGTCGTATTCAAAACAATAAACTGACCTAACATACAGGCCAGATTCTGTTTAAGGTCGTATTCAAAACAATAAACTGACCTAACATACAGGCCAGATTCTGTTTAAGGTCGTATTCAAAACTATAAACTGACCTAACATACAGGCCAAATTCTGTTTAAGGTCGTATTCAAAACTATAAATTGACCTAACATACAGGCCAGATTCTCTTTAAGGTCGTATTCAAAACTATAAACTAACCTAACATACAGGCCAGATTCTGTTTAAGGTCGTATTCAAAAGCTCCAACTGTAAATTGAAGAACGCAGGGCTGAAAAAAGGACAATAACAAATCGATTATTTTGTTTTAATTTTAGATTTTTGTTTAATTATTTTGATTATTAAGCTGTGACTGTGATTACTTTTATTTTTTTCTAATAATAATTATCATAATTTTAGCTTTTCTAATTAGCCTTCAACGTAAATAAATATTTTAAGGGTGCCCAAAAAAAATTAGGAATGAATGTGAATTCTTAAAACATGAATTATTCATTGGGTTTTAAACTTGTCTGTGTTAAAAAAAGACTCTACATAGACTGCGTTTATAAAAGCTGTGTTATCGTTTAGTCTGAATATATCTTACTTAATTCCATCGTTTTTTTTTGGTCACCGTATTTAATAATTTTCACCTGGAGCTGCGGTGGGAGGGTGTGATGGTTTTTATTATAATAAACTTGTTTCAGCGTTGTTAAAATTTCATAATTCTAATTATTCATTCTGTCCTTGGCAATGGGTTGAAAGATAACGATTTGAATGTTAACGACCTCTTGTTAACGTAAATGTTTTTTTTGTATTTTCATGGAACTGAACAACCCCTTTAATTACCTTCATTTACTCATAAAACTAACGAACCAATACAAATTAAATTATTTTTTAAAACTCTTTGCAAATGTTAGAAACAAACAAACAGATAAACAAATCTAAGAATAAGGCAAAAAAGACAAAGAAATCAACCCAATTAATAACAATACAAATGGAAATAAGAATAAACGAACCCGAAAAAAATCAGATAATTAAAAGAAAAAAAGAGAAAAACATTTAGGTTTAAATAAGAAAATACCAATAAAAATGAAAAAATAAAAAAATATCAAACAAACGAATGAGTGAAAAACACAAAAATTATAGAAAAAAATAATTAAAAGCATCTAGGAAAAAATAAGAAAATACCAATACAAGTGAAAAAATCTAAAATATCAAACAAACGAATGAGTGAAAAACACAAAAATTATAGAAAAAAATAAATAAAAGCATCTAGGAAAAAATACGAAAATACCAATACAAGTGAAAATATCTAAAATATCGAACAAACGAAAAAGCGAAAAACAAGCAAAAAGAGAAAGTATAGAAAAAAGGATTAAAAGCATCTAGGAATAAATAAGAAAATACCAATATAAGTGAAAAATCTAAAACATTAAACAAACGAATGAGCGGAAAACAAACACAAAGAGAAAGAAAAGAAAATAAAGATTAAATATTTTGTATGTTTTCTGGTCGTGTCGTGTCGGATGACTATATAAAAGTCCTGACAATGAAACTCAAGAAATGCAGAGAAATCAAATTATTAAAATTACCAAATTATTGCAGAGTTGATGCAAGACCCACACCCAGAGTTAGCTAATAAGAAAGTAAAAAAGTAAATAAAAGTAAAACACATTTTATTTTCTCAGCAGTAAAATCTAGAAAAATAAAAAAAGACTTGTTTTCAACTTTTAGTTTTATTTTTACTTGAAGACAAAGCGCATTATTTTGCGCATAATTGTTTTCAAATGGACGACATCATTAAAAAACGACATTAGACGAAATTTCAAGTGAGCCTAGATTTACAGAGTGGCATGTCCGATTCACAACGGTATCCTGTAGACCTTTGTCCTATCATGGATGAATGAATTATCCATGTTTTTCCAGCTGAAAATTGAAAATTTTGAATCGACGCTTCTATGAGTGACTGTGTTATGCAGAAGACACGAAAGTGACGAAGACGAAATTGTCAGAATTCATTACTTTACATGGATATAAAGTGACGATATATTCCTTATTGTTGCTCAGATCATGTTTTAATCAATGCATGTGTATCGTTGTGAATTGATCATAACGCTCTACAAATTACGAGTCACTTGAAATAATGTTCCTTTCAAAAATCTATTAAAATATCGAGAAGAAATTTTCCTGAAGAATTCTGTAGTAATCGTTCACGCCACACTTTAGAGGACTTCGGTACTCAATCTTAAAAACAAAACAAAAATCTGAATTATTAATAATATTCATTTACTTTTCACTTGTATATTTGTTATTATTCAAATGATTTATTTTATTTTTATCATTGAAGTCATTAAAAATGAAAATTTTTTTCACATATTTCAAAGTTCCAATTTTAATCAATTTATAAATACTGCTTTTTATTTAAATATTTAAATTCTAAATATGATAGATGTTTGTTTGTTTAAAATCAGTAGTAACTTAATTCAAATAAAATAAAATAAATGATCATACTTTTCAAGTTCAATTGGATTATTAGTTTTCAATTTCATATGTTTTGTTTAATTTTTACCCCCAGCCACCTAGAACCATGAAACCAAGTCAAGTAAATTAATCTTTATTAACAAATATCATCATGATAGGAGAGTAGATTCTTGTCCCATCACTAAAAGCAAATACATCTCAGTTAGCAGAATGCAGACAGCTGTATGTAGGGTTTAATGCGAAAAGGGTAAATCGTTTTGCGAAAATTTTTCAAATAATTATTGCAGCAATGGTTTTTGTGGAATTTTTTGCTCGGGAAATAAGAACGAAAATATCTATATTTTTTTGGCGACAGTTTTTGTTCGCTGGATACCCTAGCTTTAAGTGCGGGTGCAAGACCCCTGGTCTTGAGGAGATCCTTGTGATGCCGGGATATTGCCAAAATATAAAAACTATGCAACAGTATTTAAACTGTGTGTTATTGCATCAGTTAAGCTGAGAATAATATTACGAATTGATTAACCTGAAGTAATATCTACCCTTCAGTCTCCACTCCCATGTTTAACCATATATGAAAACTTGACCGGACCGTAAAAGGGGAAAAGGGAACTTGGGGGAGGGGGGGGGGGTTATCTGACCATATTCCCACCCTTTCGTTCAGATAATCTCAAATTATTTTTAAAAACTTTACATCTATCGAGTTATGTCGCTCAAAACTAATGGTTGTATAGAATATATGTTAATGGTAATCCTTCATAGGATATATGTTAATGGTAACCCTGTATAGTATATATGTAAATGGTAATCCTGTATAGTATATATGTTAATAATTACCCTGTATAGTATATATGTTAATGGTAATCCTGTATAGTATATATATTCATGGTAATCCTGTATAGTATATATGTTAATGGTAATCCTGTACATTATATAGGTTAATGGTAACCCTGTATAGTATTATGTAATGGTAACCCTGTATAGTATATATGTTAATGGTAACCCTGTATAGTATATATATTAATGGTAATCCTGTATAGGATATATGTTAATGGTAATCCTGTATAGTATATATGTTAATGGTAACCCTGTATAGGATATATGTTAATGGTAACCCTGTATAGGATATATGTTAATGGTAACCCTGTATAGGATATATGTTAATGGTAACCCTGTATAGTATATATGTTAATGGTAACCTTGTATAGGATATATGTTAATGGTAACCCTGTATAGTATTATGTAATGGTAACCCTGTATAGTATATATGTTAATGGTAACTCTGTATAGTGGCAGAGTTACCATTAACACTAAGTTAGTTGATTTATGTTGGTGATTTATATTGATAGATTGTCTTGGTTGATTCATGTTGGTGATTATGTTGATGAATTATGTCGGTTATTCATGTTGGTGATTTATGTTGATGAATTATGTCGGTTATTCATGTTGGTGATTTATGTTGATGACTTATGTCGGTTATTCATGTTGGTGGTTTATGTTGATGAATTATGTCGGTTATTCATGTTGGTGCTTTATGTTGATGAATAATGTTGGTGATTTATGTTGATGAATTATGTCAGTTATTCATGTTGGTGATCTATGTTGATAGGTTATGTTTTATGTGTTCATGATTTATGTTGATGAATTATGTTGATAGATTATGTTTTATGTGTTGATGATTTTTGTTGATGAATTATGTTGGTTGATTCATGTTGGTGATTTATCTTGATGAATTATGTTGGTTGATTCATGTTGGTGAATTATATTGATGAATTATGTTGGTTGATTCAAATTGGAGAATTATTTTGATGAATTATGTTGGTTGATTCATATTGGAGAATTATTTTGATGAATTATGTTGGTTGATTCATATTGGAGAATTATATTGATGAATTATGTTGGTTATTCATGTTGGTGATTTATCTTGATGAATTATGTTGGTTGATTCATGTTGGTGAATTATTTTGATGAATTATGTTGGTTATTCATGTTGGAGAATTATTTGATGAATTATGTTGGTTGATTCATGTTGGTGAATTATATTGATGAATTATGTTGGTTGATTCATGTTGGTGAATTATATTGATGAATTATGTTGGTTGATTCATGTTGTTGATGAATTATGTTGGTTGATTCATGTTGGTGAATTATATTGATGAATTATGTTGGTTGATTCATGTTGGTGAATTATGTTGATGAATTATGTTTGTTGATTCATGTTGGTGATTTATCTTGATGAATTATGTTGGTTGATTAATGTTGGTGAATTATTTTGATGAATTATGTTGGTTGAATCCATCAAAATAAAGGATGCCTGGTCCAGGCTATGAATAGATAAATACGACGATGAAAGAACGACCGAAGAAACTAGAAGGCATCCTTTTCTTTAAAGTTTTGATAGAGAAAAATATATAAATGTTTTTGCAGGGCAAAAATTAAAATTCAGGTTTTTGAGAAACATGAATTTCCCACAATTTTATTATTTTATTAAATCTGCCGCAGGATGAAGATTCTCACTGATTCTTCTCAGTGTATAGTTGACCTTGGAGCCAAGCAGTTCTAGGACTAGATACAGTAGTACATACAGGTCCAGATACAGCAGTACATACAGATCTAGATACAGTAGTACATACAGGACTCGATACAGTAGTACATACAGGTCTAGATACAGTAGTACAAATAGGTTTAGATAAAGTATTACAAACAGGTCTAGATACAGTAGTACATACAGGTCTAGATACAGTAGTACATACAGGTCTAGATACAGTAGTACATACAGGTCTAGATACAGTAGTNTAGTGTACTGTAAACAGATAGGTACACATCCTATATAGTAAAATAAGTTAGTGTACTGTAAACAGATAGGTACACATCCTATATAGTAAAATAAGATAGTGTACTGTAAACAGATAGGTACACATCCTATATAGTAAAATAAGTTAGTGTACTGTAAAAAAAAGTACAAACAGTAAGTTCAGAACAATTAGATTTAGTGCAATACGATATTGATACATTTCATAGTAAGACATTTCATAGACGGACATTTAATAGAGTGGACATTTTATAGATAGAACATTTAATAGATAGGATATTTCATAAAAAAAGAAATTCATAGATGGGACATTCCATAGATAGAACATTTTATGGAAAGGACTTTTCATAGATTGACAGAGCATGTTTCTCATGGACAGATAATTTCACAATGTACAGAGCATAGAATACTAAAATACAGTAGAACAAAAAGTATTATGAAAGATGCAATTTAATAAAGGCGCGTAGTAAGGGGGGCGGGGGGGGGGGACCCCTGGACCCCCCGTAGACAGGCACGTAGGGGGGGGCCAGCCCCACTGTGCCCCCTACCTTAGCCCCCCCCCCCCCCTAGAGCCAGAGGCAGGCTCTATTTTATTAAACAGTTAACTTACATTTATATTCAGAATTTTTACTTTTCTTATCAATCGACAATGTCACAATGCACATATCAAACAATCAATATTCTGTGGAAGGCCGCAAAAGTGTGCCACAAAAATACACACATTATAGATTACATTATTTAATAAGTTAAGATAGCTCTTAAGTTTGTTTAAATTCATCATAAATATTGAGCTCAATGCAAGATATTGGATAAATATTGAGCTCAATGCAAGATATTGGATTAATTTATAAAGATTTAGTTTTACATACTGCACTTTATAGTATCTTACAGATCTTAATTTATAAAGATTTAGTTTTACATACTGCACTTTATAGTATCTTACAGACCTTAATTTATAAAGATTTAGTTTTCTCTTTTCATGAGGTTAATATTGATCAATGACAATCTGTTGCCAAAAAAAGATGATTGTTTTAAGATTTCAAATATCCCAAAAAATAAGAAAAAATATCAAATGAGTAACCAGGTCCACATGATTGTGTTTAGGAATGGATCATATTGAGGATCAATTAGTTTGATTAATTTCTAATTTAGAATGTTGCTCTTGTACATAGTGTTCTCTCTCTCTATTGGAGCAGTACAGATGAACAAGGTAAATAAATTAGTGTGTACATAAATAATCATGACTCAGCTCTAGAGTAAAACCACAGACTACTATATATATATACACAGACTGCTCATAAGATCTCATAGGCTAGGCTAAGCAGGCCTATGGTTGTTCCGGCACGATATGGTACGTTTCCACGAAAAGTTTTTAACTGCCACCTAACGGCAACTTGTTGGATATTATACCCATTTAGTGGTTTAGCTTTACAATTTTTAAAGACTCTAACGTTTAACATAAAACATAAGATTTATGAATTTAGTCTATTTTTGAAGGTTTTGTATTTCGTATCCAAAGGATCCTTAAATATCCCTGAATACAGACATTGTAAATAATCATGTAAATGTTATATCCCTGTAAATTATATTTACTTTATATTAATTAAATGTAAACGTAAACGTAAAGTCAATATCCTCTGTGTCAATGTTATATCCCTGTAAATTATATTTACTTTATATTAATTAAATGTACGTAAACGTGAATATAAAGTCTATATCCTCTGTGTCAATGGTATATCCCTGTAAATTATGTTTACTTTATATTAATTAAATGTAAACGTAAATGTAAACGTAAATGTAAACGTAAATGTAAACGTAAATGTAAACGTAAATGTCAAATATTCTCTTTTTATGACTTGTATGTAAATGTAAATATAAACCGTAACTGTTATAGGTTAAATCCCTGTGAAATATATTTTGCATAAATGATCGTTCGGTCAAATTTTTACATTTAAATAATCGAAAAATCACTCTTAAATTTATATAATTCATTAGTTTTCTTTTAAAGTTTTAGTATTTGTTATTATTCATGGCTTAAATGTTTAAATGAAATATGGTGTTTTAAGGAATTCAAATATCGCAATTTTTTAAAAAAAATTTATCAAAATTGAGAGGATGAAATAAGATGTGTTTAATCCACTGTGCTTTATTTCCTACAACTTTGTATGCTGTATTGTATGTAATTGTAACCTAAACTGCTTAATTAAAATACCATGAATCAAGTGTAAAATATGTTCAAGTGCCAAATGCATTTATCAAAGTATGCAAATTTAGATAAAATGCATCCAGACTGAACAGGAAGTGGTGTATAACAAAACTCTAATATATTGTTTTATTGTCGAAATAGAACCATCTTTTTAATGCTGTTTTCCTTATTGGAATATCAATTCGGGGCTCAGGCGGTATACAAAAATGTAAAAGCCTTTGTCTTGATTTACCAAATATACAATTTATAATTATTAAAAACTAAAAAATATAAGAAATATCCAAGAAGTACATATTTCAAAGAGACATGTATAAAGAGTATAAAAGAGAAAAGGGGAAAAATTGTTAAATAGGTTAAATTGTAATCACAAGTCTGCAGGTTCCTGGGATAAGGAACTCAGATATATTATATAGTTTCAATTCTTTCTTTGGTTAAAAACTGTTGCCTGTTTCCCATCAATGCTTTAAGTATACGTATATTGTATATTGTATATATGTTATACTAGGAGTGCCGGACCTGTATTAATCAATCAATTGAATATATCTGGCTGTCTTAAATTACATTGCGTTTTCTGAACACTATGATTTGCAATTACATTATATAGTGGGGGAGGGGGGGGGGGGGAAGTACGAGGAAAAGTTTGTTGGACACATTTTTTATGTTCTTATCTTATCTGTTATGTTCTCATCTTATCTGCTATGTTCTTATCTTATCTGTTATGTTCTTATGTTATCCTTGATCTGACATTTTATATTTTTTTGTAGTCCTTGATATATAAATCTGCAAAGTTAGTTTTGGGGAAACTCTAATAACTTTATTTAGAAAATAAATAATTTGATTTAGCTTGTTATCTTATAAACTATTTAATTCGAGGCAATTGTAAGTTATCTTGGAACTAACTTTATTCTACCAGATGGGTGCCCTTCAGCAGATCCAGTTACTCAGAGGTATACTAACTTTTGATCCTAATTCTATCAATAATAATGATCTAAATAGTAATTATAATAATACTAATAATAATAATAATAATAATAATAATAATATTAATAATAATGATGATAATAATATTAATAATAATGATAATAATAATAATAATAATAATAATAATAA